GGCGCAACCAAGCCGTAAGAGCAGTGTCTAAAGTGACAAGACGATGTCAGGCTATCCTCCGAATAACGGTCCCAAATATCGAAGCCGAAAAAAAAAACCTAACAGGGCCTCAGTCATGTGTAAATTGTGGACCTCTTTCCGGCGACAATACCGCTACCGCCGAGAGTATCCCCCGCGCCGCTACGAACAGTGCGGAGGGGGGATAAACTAGATGGCTGGGACTCACGAGCAAATAAATTGGAAGAAGCTGCAGGGGGTGTGGTAGCTGCTGCTCGTGAGTCCCAGCCATCTTCACAAGGAAACTCGCGGCGGTGACTTTAACTCGGCGGAAGCTTTTCCGCGGTATGCGGTTTAGTCGCCGGAAAGAGGTCCGCAATTTACATATGACTGAGGCCCTGTTAGGGTATTTTTTCTTCCCTGGATAATTTGGGACCGTTATTCGGAGGATAGCCCGATGGCATATATCCTGAGGAGAAGGCAGAAGCAAAGTTCTTTGGACAGATTTTTTAAAAGTAGAAGTCAAACCTGGGTAATCCCAACAAGATGCAAATAGGGAAAACAGAAAGTGAAGTTTTATTAGAAGGGGGACTCTCCTCCCAAACAATAACATTTACTCCTTCTCCCTTCTCAGCAACATCGCAGAAGGCACTTGACTCTTCTCAGCAAGGTCCATTGAGGTTACGTTTTCATTTATTTCATCCAGTTGCTTTTGTTTTGATGTATTTTAGTGTTAAAAAGTGTTACATACAACTTTTTAAATGTATAGTATAATATGACATCAACTTAGCATAATTTTTTTCATAGCAGCGGCCTAACCTTTTTTTCTTGTGGAAAAATTCGTTTGGTATACGTCCTGTTTGGTGTACGTCCTGTTTGGTATACGTCCTGTTTGGTGTACGTCCAAGGATGTGGAACCGATTAAGGATGTATACGGAAATACCACTGCGGTTTTGTAATTCCAGCATCTCAGGTTCATTTCAGTTGCAGAAGATTGTGTCTCTCTGACATTAGGCAGTGGAAATTTATTGTACGTGAAGTTGCCTAGTGAAAAAACTCACAAATAGCCAACAAATGCTGGCGTTGTCTGGCGACACTCTGTACAATATGTGCAACTAACAGCAATCTTCTAATTCGCCATCAGGCGAGAAAGTCGACATCTGATACTTGAGCGTTGCGAACCTGCATCGTCGTTCCGAAATACTTAATTCGATTCCCGCTGCAAGTGATTTGACAGCTGATCGCTTTATCTTGATTTCAGGAGTGACGTGGATCGCCCACTGTTTAATGAGCAATTGCAAACCACTCACTGAACATCTATCTATCTATCTATCTATCTATCTATCTATCTATCTATCTATCTATCTATCTATCTATCTATCTGTCTGTCTGTCTGTCTGTCTGTCTGTCTGTCTGTCTGTCTGTCTGTCTGTCTGTCTGTCTGTCTGTCTGTCTGTCTGCCTGCCTGCCTGCCTGCCTGCCTGCCTGCCTGCCTGCCTGCCTGCCTGCCTGCCTGCCTGCCTGCCTGCCGGCCGGCCGGCCGGCCGGTCGGTCGGTCGGTCGGTCGGTCGGTCGGTCGGTCGGTCGGTCGGTCGGTCGGTCGGTCGGTCGGTCGGTCGGTCGGTCGGTCGGTCGGTCGGTCGGTCGGTACGTCCGTCCGTCCGTCCGTCCGTCCTTTTGTTTAGTAAAGCCACAAACAGTGAAAGAATGCGGGAGTTGGTTCTGCGACTAACTTAAAAAACCGAACGAAAAGTATATCAGCGATCTTCACAATATAACAAACACAAACAAAACGTGAACGTTGCGACTATAGAGCCTTCTTTAGCACATACATAGATTAGATAATACAGCACATACATAGATTAGACAATATCACTTAGAGCGAGAATGGCTAGTGAATCTATTTCAAGAAACGGAAATCAGGCATAAATACAATTAAAATAAAAAAGACTTGGTGTCCATTGCTGATCTGCATTAAGTGCGTGTTGTTAACTTGCTGATTTGCCCCTGTCGATTTTTCTTGCCAATCTTTGATCTGCATATGTTGTGCCTCTTATCTGTGCTTGACTCTACCAGAAATCTGGCCAAACGTGGCTTGGGGCTTCATATCCTGATTACGTTTAGATGTTATGTTATAAATTTCGTACTTAAGTGCCACCTCCCCCCTCTTCCACAGCCCTCTCTGTTTCTCTCTCTACTTCATTCGCGTTCATCTTTTTGATTACACAAATTCACGGCTTGTAAAAGTTATTTTAATCATTTTGTAAATCGAGGCTTAAACCCAAGTCACTCATCGTCCAAGCCAGCGCACGATACACCATTCCAACATATCTGCACTTTAGTCGCCTTTAAACAACCAGCTCTTTCATGAAACGAATCGCCTCTTTAATCACATCACCAACTTGAAACCCATTGATTCAGCCAATGCCAGGGCCCAAAGATATATCACAGCGTAGCAATGAGGTGTCAGAAAGGTGACCGCGTTAGTCGCAGAATTCTAGCAAGTTTCCCAGATAAATCTTTTCTTTCGTCCAACTTTATCTACCACATCCTTTAGTTGGCCGTGATTGCTGTCCCACTAGAGACCTTCCTTGATAGGTATATCTCCTGATCTTCAGAAGACTTTTTATTTCATTTTGTCGGACTGTAGTACTTTTTAAAAGCTGTCTTTATTTATGGTCTTATTTCCGTCTTACCGCCACCAACCGGTTGTTGCTTACATTGGGGAACTTTCTTATGTATTACGCTGCACCCTGTCTGTCTGTCTGTCTGTCTGTCTGCCTGCCTGCCTGCCTGCCTGCCTGCCTGCCTGCCTGCCTGTCTGTCTGTCTATCTATCTGTCTCTCTATCTGTCTCTCTATCTCTCTGTCTGTCTGTCTCTCTCTCTCTCTGTGTATATGTTTTTTCATATATTTATATAAAAATAACTTTAGATTATCTCGCTAACCCATTTCCAGTTTTTATCACCAGTACTTTTGCCTGTCTAACAATCCAAGTAGGAGATACGCGTGTTAATGTGTTTGCTCGTGCTCGCAAACATACACTCGAAAGCCTGGACTATGTCAAAAATTAGCATTTATTTTACAGCAATAGACACATCTATTGCTATGACATGTACATCATTGACTTTGTACCAAAATGTGTGAACCATTGGCGTGTGCACCGTCATGTGTACCATTGACATGTGCATGATTGACATTTGTACCAAAATATGTACCATTGTCATGTGCAACATTGACATTTGTACCAAAATGTGTACCAATGATATGTGTATCATTGACATTTGTGCTAAAATGTATTCCATTGACATGTGCATCATTGACATTTGTGCCAAAATGCGTACCATTGATATGTGTATCATTGACATTTGTACCAAAATGTGTACCATTGACATGTGCATCATTTACATTTGTACCAAAATGTGTACCATTGGCGTGTGCACCATCATGTGTACCATTGACTTGTACATAATTGACATTTGTACCAAAATGTACCATTGGTGTGTGCACCGTCGTGTAAACAAACAATATGTACATCATTGAAATTTGTACCAAAATGTGTACCATTGGCGTGTGCACCGCCATGTGTACCATTGGCGTGTGCACCGTCATGTGTACCATCAACAAGTACATTATTTACATTTGTACCACAATGTGTATCATTGGCATGTGCACCATCATGTGTACCATTGACACGTGCATTATTGACATTTGTACCAAAATGTGAACCATTGGCGAGTGCACCATCATGTGTACCATTGTGTACTCTATTTACATGTGTACTATTGCTGGCACCCCCTCTCTTCCCCCCCCCCCCCCCCCCATCCTATTCCCCGGGCAACCATACCACATCTTACTTATCCTTTTGAAAAGGACAGCATATCGATGACTGTTAGAGACCATCTACTCTGTCTTACTGGGGATACAAATCAGGAGACTTCCAAGTTAAGACATTTGTATACTAAGTGCTTGGCCACTCAACCTGTAACAAAACTGATTGCTACTCCCCTCTATTTCTGCATCCATGACTGAAAAATCAAGCAGTGAGCTGGAAATTCAAATCACACTTGTTCATTAAAAAAAATTTCATCATGTTTCACACTAAAGCACTAGCTGTCTTTATAGGCTGGCCTTTACTGATTGATAAATATGTATAATTATTATAGATAATGGCGTGCATTGTTTCTAAAGTTTGCTATTACTGAAGTTAATAAGAAATATCCTTCCACTGACCACAGTTTTAATTGATTCAGGCAGATTAATATTGGAAAATGGGGAGAGAAGAACAAGAGATGGCACAACGGACTGTTAAATGTTGATCGTATCTTTTCATCATCATCATCCTGTAACACTACGTATCGTTGGGTCACCAGTTTCTGTTGACTGTCTGATCAGCTCTCTCCACCTTTGATGGTCAGTTGTGATGGACTTCATGGTTGATTGCCTGAGGCCTGTCCAGTCAGTTATGTTCTGTAACCAGGTCTTTCTTGGTCTGCCTCTTCTCCTCTTTCCCTTTACTGAGCCCTGCAGTGATGTTTTTGAGAGATCGTTAGATCTTATTGCATGTACATACCATTGCATTTTTAGACTTTTCACTGTAGTTGAACAAGGTTCTTAGTTTTGCATGAAATGTTTTCGGATCTCCATAATGTTTGCTGCTTGGCAAGGACTGATGTTTTCCGGGCAATCCTAGACATGATTTCTGGTCTTGACCCCAAGTCACTTAAAATGGATCCTAAATATTTGAAATGAGTCACTTTTTCTAATTTGTGACCTTTAAGTAGATTGGCAAAATTCTGCCAGCTGAATTATTAGTCATTACTTTTGTTTTGTCTGCCTTTACTTCCCTGCCAAACTTGGTTGGTGTTTAATCAAGTAGATTTACAAGCTCGACTAGTTCTTGTTCTTCTCCGGCCAACCCATCGATGTCATCTGCCAACCTTGTATTGCCTTGAAGTGAAGCCAGATGCACTGACCATTGGTGTCTGCCCTTTCTGTCTGCAGGTGGTCAAAGTGAAGGTCCAGAACTGTGCTCAGTACCTGACCTGCTCAGAATGTCTGGGAGCCAGGGATCCATACTGTGGCTGGTGCTCTCTGGAAAACAAGTGAGAATCTTAGCTCTACCAGAGTATTGTTTATTAGTAGTACACAACCAAAGGTTATCGATATCTGTAGTAACAACACACACTATAATCATCAACAGTATACACTAACAGGCCACACTAATCAGTAGTGTGCAGTCAAAAGCTGTAGCCATAGGTGGTCAACAATCACATGCCCAGTCATCAGTACTATACAGTCACAGACAGGCTATAGCCATCAATAGTATACAGTCACAGGCTATAGATATCAATAGTATATAATCACAGGCTATAGCTATCAATAGTATACAATCACAGGCTATAGCCATCAATAGTATACAATCACAGGCTATAGCTATCAATAGTATATAATCACAGGCTATAGATATCAATAGTATATAATCACAGGCTATATCCATCAGTAGTGCATAATCACAGGCTATAGCCATCAGTAGTGTATAATCACAGGCTATAGCTATCAATAGTATATAATCACAGGCTATAGTCATCATTAGTATACAATCACAGGCTATAGCCATAACCAATATACAATCACAGGCTTTTGACATCAGTAGTATACAATCATAGGCCATAAACTTCATACATATACAATCATAGTCCATTGTGCTCAGTGCAGTTCTAACTATAGTTATCCATATTTAGAATCACATGCTATTTTTACAGAAGTGTATGTCACAGCGTATAAACATCAATATTGTACAGTCACATGCTATTGTCATTGATTGTATATGCACCCTATAGACTGTAGTCATCAGAATATAGGAAGAAGAAAAAAGGGCAGCAAATATTTTAGTAACAAAATTACTCTGTAAGTGCCAGTTTGTCTATATAAATCTGGGGCTAGCACCATTTACCTGGCAATAGGCTTCAAGCCTGATTCATTACCTTTACTTTTATCAGGTTCATATTTTAAAATCAAAACCTAGTTGATAAGTAATCAATCTTCATGTTAAGAGCTGGTGACTTTAAACATTACTCACATTGTACACATAAAATATATATGCCTATAGAAAAGGAGCACAAACAGTGAAACTAACCCTGCAAAACTTTCCTCAATGTGGCTTTCAGAGTGACAGTTTGGCCTAAAGAACCCATTTTTACACCACTGACTCCATTGGGCATATAATCCTACACTCAGATTTTTTAGACCAATCAGTATTTGTTGGGTGATGTGATCAACATTATGCAAGCTGCCTTTACCTCCAAGGACACTACCTGGGTCCAATATTTGGCCGGGTTGACCTAGATACCAAGGTTAGTTTTGAACAAATCAAACTTCAGTGCTGGTTGAAACCAAAGACCTTTGGGTCGGCAGGCAAGCATCAAGACACTACACTACCACAGGTCTTAGTACAGCATGACCTAACCCCCATTACTGAACAGTCAGATTAGCTGACTCTGCACATTATGAGTGGTGAACTGAGGTATCACAAGCAAGCATATAGTGTAAAGACCTTTACATAGGGACAGTGCAGAAGAGTCATTAGATTATTGTGGTCCGCAGAGAATAATGCAACAGCAAAGATCAGGATGACATCCAGTGCTTGCTCGGGTGAAAGCCAAGATGGCATATAATTAGATAGTAACTGGCACCATTACTAATGGGACTCAGGATGCTAATGACTGGTTGAGAGTAGCCACAGAGGGAGGATGAAGAATGAACTGCTATTCTTTGCTCCTATTTTGAACTGTTCTGAGGGGATGCACACACACACAAAAACTAACTTTGTCAGTGGTTTTTAGTTTTCTCCGGGAATAAACATCTTTGCCAGTTAAGCAAATGTTTAAAAGGTAAAATCAAATCTTTGATAGGGAAACCTGAAGCTCTGAGTAAATTAATGCCTCTCAGACATAAAATACAGGCAAGCCTAAAAGACTGAATGTGGGAATTGAGGGGAACAAAATGTGTTTGTATGAAAGGGAATGTCATGAAAGTGAGCTAGGCAAAACAAAATAAACAGAAAAGGACCTTTTCTTTGCCTGAGATGTTTTAGGCATTTGTTAGTAGTATACAGTGACAGGCTATAGTTGTCAGTAGTCTACAATCTCAGACTATAGAGAGATATATAAAGATATAGTCAGAAGAAGACTTGCATTAGCAATGCAGAGATTAAACAGCACGAAGAACCTTTAAAGCACTAGTAAATTGGTTAAAGTAAAAATCTTGAGATCATGCATTTGTCTTGTGGCTACTTCCGGATGTGAGTCCTGGACTCTCACTCAGTCACTGAGGAAAAAGATTGAAGCTTTTGAATTGAAATGTTATAGAAAAATGCTTAGAATATCAGGGATCAAGAAGAGAACAAATATAGATATTCTGAATGAGTTGAACATCAAGGAGAACTGGCTCATAAACAGCATCCTGTTCCAAAAGTTGAAGTATTTTGGCCACCTCAAGCGTCATGGTGGCCTGGAAAAGATGGTGATGGAAGGTGCAGTTTGTGGAAGGCGAGGCAGGGGTCGACCACAGCAAGAATAAATGCAGGACATTGAAGAAGCATTGGCATTGAAAGCACATGGGGCTGGAAAACTGGCTAGGAAAAGGGATACTTTCAGGCATGCCGTGAAGAGAGCGACATTCTGTAAAGGACTTGCTGATTGATGATGATGATATATATATATATATATATAGAGAGACCAATCAGAACTGACAGATGATACCAGCCATCTGTTCTTCCTGGTACATTTTCTGATATCCATTCTAGGCTGGGTCATCTTGGAAGCTTATGTCAATAAATCCACCTGGACACCAATTCCAATCAATGACTAGCAACCTGGCAGTGTTAAATGACTGATGGAGTTAATTGTGTGAAAGAGATAGTCTTGAATGTGGACCTAACAATGTTTGAAAGGTCAGATTTAATTAGTATGGCTGACAGTATTAAACCTCTGCAAATGGCTTCTTTGAATAATGTTCACACAGCCATTACGGTTACAAGGCCAATATGTAAGCAGTTTGTGTTGTGGTTTAGTCACTCCTTCATCCAGCAGCAGTGTTAATGATTGTTTGCTTCATCTTTGGTTGCTTGTCAGTTATTTCAAAGATGACACCATTCACTTGATTTGTGTCCTCGGATTGCTGTGTATCTGTGTTCTGTGTATCTATGTTCTGCGAGTGTTTTTAATATATTTTTTTATTTTAAAAAAAAATTGTTTTAAATAATATTGTGTTCAGGTTTACACTTTTATGATACATGCTGAGTGGTCATATGCTTTTATTGTTTACAGATCTAAAACTTGTTCTTGGTTTACTTTTCTTTTGTTTTTGTTTTTTGAGACTGTTATAACAGTTTTGTAATTGTTAATTTAAAATATTCTCTGTAAGGTGGTGTTGTGAGTAATAATTGCAGCTTGTGAATCAGGAGAGACTGAGAAAATTAATTCAAAATTAGATGGGATAATTTCAAGGAAGTCAGTAAAATTCAGAGAAGTATTTGAACATCTGCTGAGAGATTTCGATAAAATTGAGCACATCCTTTGGAGAAACAGATAGGGAATTACCAGACAAGCACTGAAATGGTAAACAGATAGGCTGAAGGAGTGAGGACATCTTAGATAAACCTTACGATACATGTTGGTGTCAAGGGCCACAATTGTCCGGCTGGATTCAGGCTGAAGGAGTGAGGACATCTGAGATAAACCTTACGATACATGTTGGTGACAAAGGCCACAATTGTCTGACCGGATTCAGGCTGAGGGAGTGAGGACATCTGAGATAAACCTTACGACACATGTTGGTGACAAAGGCCACAATTGTCTGACTGGATTCAGGCTGAAGGAGTGAGGACATCTGAGATAAACCTTACGACACATGTTGGTGACAAAGGCCACAATTGTCTGACTGGATTCAGGCTGAGGGAGTGAGGACATCTGAGATAAACCTTACAACAGATGTTGGTGACAAGGGCCACAATTGTCCGACTGTATTCAGGCTGAGTGAGTGAGGATATCTTACATCTTAGATAAACCTTACGACAGATGTTGGTGACAAGGGCCACAATTGTCCGGGTGAATTCCATCCACACTGTTGAAAAACATGAACAGGATGGAGGAATTGACTGCAAACCTAGGTAGTTTATTAACAGGAGAATATGATGATGATGATGATGATGATGATGATGATGATAAATCAGAAGAGTGACCAACTAACACTCCCTGAAATGAACAAATGCTGAGGAACGTAATGACTACTATAAAACAAATTGCAAGCGCATTACTTTGAAAGCCTTAGTCCTTGACCCCAACAAAAAATGTTAGTTGCATTTCCTTCATAGGATTTTGCAGAACCAACCCTAGTATTTGTTTATCATTTGTTTTTTTTTCCTGTTTGTGATTTCACGAGACAAGTTCCTGTTTGTGATTTCACGAGACAAGTTCCTGTTTGTGATTTCACGAGACAAGTTTGCTGTTTCTTCCTGGATGGTGGGCTCTTAAAATCATTGTCAAAATCAATGCAATGTGGTCTGCTGCCTAATCACACGCAGCTGGAATCAAACCAAGTATTTCAAATTTACAAACCACATTGATGACACCTAAGCCAACATTCTACAAAAGCATATAAAATGCATAGACTGACAGAATGTTTCTAAAACATTAAAATGAAACATAAAAATAGTAAAAACAAAGAAAATACAATAATGGAATTTTTGCTGTAAAGCACTCTGGGACATCAGATGACTACAATGTGTTTCATATGGCATTGTCAACTTCAGCCTGTTGCCTTTTTATTTACAGCTTGCTGTTTCTTTGTCTAAAGTATCGCTTTCAATATTTAATTGTCAAAATTGTTAGATATTATTTGACTTTTGTCTGAAATGTATTATGAGAATAAAATAGGGGGAGATAACATGGTCATTATTGTGCGAAATAACCCATTCTTGATTGACTATTTCAAATATTTTCAAAAGAACGGCAGAATAATTAATGTTTATGTTCTTGAATTATGAGATTTTACTTCTGTTGTAGCTTGTATTTGCTCTATATTTTTTCTATATGTTTTTGCTTTTGTTATCTGGTGCATGCTAGATGTGTGTTACAACTTAGCCAATAACATTTTCTTCTTTTTAGTTATTGTGCTATTGGCTATCACAATGCTTTTATTTTTTTCATGTTTGTTTTTCACATATATTTTAAAATATTTTAATTTCATGTTATTACAATGTGGATGTCTTTTATTTATATGCAAGCCTTATTGATAATATAAAATGTATATAATTACTTTTAAAGTACTTTTAAAGCTTTTTTCCTCTTACATTTGTTTTGTTTTTTAAACATATATATTTTAAGAATAATTTTGCCTTGACAGTACTTACTGCATAATATATTTTTTTACTGCATTGGTTACTGCATATTATTTTTATACTGCATTATTAGAAACTGCTGTGATCAGACTGAAAAAGCTTTGACAATCTAGATAGAACAATGATGTGGAGGATCCTTGTGCGAATGGGTTACCAAATAAAGTTATAAACATATTTAGAGGACTATATGAAGGATACCAATGCAAAGAGAAAGTAGGACTCATGGAAACAGAAAACATCAGGAGTCCAACAAGGGTGCATTCTGTCACCTTTCTTCTTCCTCATAGTGATAGATTATGTTACGAAGAAAGCAACCACAGGCACACGGACAGGGCCTTCAATGGAACCTTCTCGTACACCTGGAACATTTGGTCTTTGCAGATGATATCTGTGTCATCAGCCAAAGTAAGAATATCTGCAACAAAATACAGATAAGATCACAGAAATAGTAAAACAGACAGGATTAAGAATCAATGGCAATAAAACAAAACTGCTGGACATAAACCCCAAAAGTGAAAGACCTATAGTAATAGGTAATGTCCTTTTGGAAAACATATAGGAGGCCAGTAGAATGAACTTGTGCCCATAGGAAGTACCATACAGCTATGTCCATAGTGATTGGGAAAGGCAATTGTTCTCTGTTGTCAGCATCAAGCAGAGAGTGTGCAGCAAGCAAGCATGCTGCTTACAGCAGACTCTCAGAGTGTCTGAAAATCAAACATTTACATAGCACTAAAAACTAGAACTCAAACAGTATATACAAAACATGTGTTAGGTCAGTATCTCCTTTATGGAGCAGAAATGTTTGAAATCAAGCAGAGAATTGCAAAAGCAAATGCTGCTTACAGCAGACTTCAGAGTGTCTGAAAATCAAACATCTACAGCACTAAAACTAAACTCAGTATATACAAAACATGCGTTAGGACAGTTCTCTTTTATGGAGAGAAACTTGGAAAGACAGAGAACAAGCTCAGAGGTTTTGAGGAAAGACTTCTCAGAAGATTGTTGGGGTTCACATGGGAAAATAAAATCATGGAGGTGGATTGGACACGTCCTCAGAACTAAGAAAGAGAGATGACCGAGACAGGCAGTGCAATGGACACCACAAGGACAGCGAGGAAGAGGCAGGCCCAGAGGCACTTGGAGGCAAACCTTTGAGACTGAACCCAAAGGCTACGTGAAGGACAAAACTGGAGATAAAGAAGATGGCTCAGGATCAGATTGCGTGGTCACAGTTTGTCTTTGCCTTATGTGCCTCTAGGCACGATGAGGATCGATTGACTGCATTATTATGGCATCACCACAAATCCTGAATATAACTAGAAGAAACATGATCATAAATGACAATATAAAGAAAGAAATTAAGGTTGAACCAGTACTAAACTACATTATAGGACACAGGGTCAAATGATTTGGTCATGTGTCAAGACTTCCACTAGATAGTCTACCACAGAGAGCCCTGCCACTTAGACATAACAGAAACAGAGCTGGAGGTCAACCATGCATCTTTACCAGAAACTATGTAACACATACTAAGACTCGCACTCGATGCCTTTTCAAAACCTGATGCTGAAAGAGAACATCTTGTGCAATATATCCTTGTCATTGAGAGTTAGAAAAAGAATTCTTGCTTGCTGCATACATCCAGTTTTAACATATGGCTGTGAATCCTGGACAATCGGTAGGCAGCCAAACAATTTCTAGAGGCCTCAGAGATGTGGTTTTACAGAAGAATGCTTAGAATACCTTGGACAGCCAAAAAGAGCAACCAAGAGGTTTTCAAAGAGTCGGAAGCCCGAAGACAACTTAACAGAGACATCAGAAGGAGACAATCATCATTTTTTGGCCATGTTATGAGAAGAGGGAAAATAGAACATGTTGTGACCACTGGAAAGATCTATGGAAGGAGGGATAGAGGAAGACAACGAGAGAAGATTCTTGACAGTCTTGTTGCGTGGCATGGAGGTGTGTCGGCACACGAACTGATACATGCTGCAGGAGATCGCAGATTATGGAGAGGCATGATCGCCTACGCCAATTGGCAAGGCACCTGATGGTGATGATGCTGAAAGGCAAAACAAAGCCAACAAAAAATAATATAGCATTATTTCTTTACTATGTAGCTTTTCTATTCCATGCCCCCCACCCACCCCACCCCACCATCCCCCCCACCATCCCCCCACCCCTCTTTGTTTAAATTAATATTATTGACAAAATATTTCTTTTAAAAAATGAAGTCTAATGATAATTGGATCTAAGTGCTCAAATTCAGCATTGATTAAAATTGATGAAAATATATTCAGTCTCAAATTATATTCTGTTCTATGTCTGTGGCATGATATATTTAATACATTTCAATATCTAATTGATATTTGCAGTAATATAATAAAACATCACACGGCCTTATTAAATAAATTATTTTCGCATCATTTGCTGATTATAAAACGGGATCGGTTTACATTTTTGGATGTCCCTCATTTACCTGTGGTTTATTACTTTTATTTAAATATATGGTTAATTTTGAAAAAAAAATTATTTTTTGGCCATGTTTGTTTATTATGTGAGAACGTGTACTAAATGTTTAGAGCAAACTTGAACATAGAAACAGGATTTTCTTGTAGATTTTATGTCATCACCACTATAGAGGTTGCCTGCATTGTATCCCAGTGCTGTCTCTAGGGATACTGCTAAGTGACGAGACGCAGTGAATGTACTGCATTGGATCTTCATTCACGGGATGGCACTGAGAGAAAAGTTTCTACATTGAAACCATATCTCCGGGGCTTCCAGTTTGTTTTCATTTTAATATTTTAATATTCAAGATTAATCCGGGTTCCTTAGATAAGAAAAAGCAAGTGAGGATATTGAGGAATTAGCTGTTCTCAAGGTATTCCGTAAGGTTTTCCAGATGAGTTTTTGTTTTTCCAGGATTGAGAATACACGTCGTTTTGTATGGTGATAGTATGGGTCGACCATGATTTGACATTGATCATAACTTTAGATAACAACCAAGAAAAAGACTGAAGTTATCATATTTAGATAGCAACCAAGAAAAAGACTGAAGTTATCATATTTGGATAACAACCAAGAAAAAGACTGAAGTTATCATATTTGGATAACAACTAAGAAAAAGACTGAAGTTATCATATTTGGATAACAACCAAGAAAAAGACTGAAGTTATCATATTTGGATAACAACTAAGAAAAAGACTGAAGTTATCATATTTGGATAACAATCAAGAAAAAGACTGAAGTTATCATATTTGGATAACAACTAAGAAAAAGACTGAAGTTATCATATTTGGATAACAACTAAGAAAAAGACTGAAGTTATCATATTTGGATAACAACTAAGAAAAACACTGAAGTTATCATATTTAGATAACAACTAAGAAAAAGACTGAAGTTATCATATTTGGATAACAACTAAGAAAAAGACTGAAGTTATCATATTTGGATAACAACCAAGAAAAAGACTGAAGTTATCATATTTGGATAACAACTAAGAAAAAGACTGAAGTTATCATATTTGGATAACAACTAAGAAAAAGACTGAAGTTATCATATTTGGATAACAACTAAGAAAAAGACTGAAGTTATCATATTTGGATAACAATCAAGAAAAAGACTGAAGTTATCATATTTGGATAACAACTAAGAAAAAGACTGAAGTTATCATTTTTGGATAACAACTAAGAAAAAGACTGAAGTTATCATATTTAGATAACAACTAAGAAAAAGACTGAAGTTATCATATTTGGATAACAACTAAGAAAAAGACTGAAGTTATCATATTTGGATAACAACCAAGAAAAAGACTGAAGTTATCATATTTGGATAACAACTAAGAAAAAGACTGAAGTTATCATATTTGGATAACAACTAAGAAAAAGACTGAAGTTATCATATTTGGATAACAACCAAGAAAAAGACTGAAGTTATCATATTTGGATAACAATCAAGAAAAAGACTGAAGTTATCATATTTGGATAACAACTAAGAAAAAGACTAAAGTTATCATATTTGGATAACAACTAAGAAAAAGACTGAAGTTATCATATTTGGATAACAACTAAGAAAAAGACTGAAGTTATCATATTTGGATAACAACTAAGAAAAAGACTGAAGTTATCATATTTAGATAACAACTAAGAAAAAGACTGAAGTTATCATATTTGGATAACAACTAAGAAAAAAGACTGAAGTTATCATATTTGGATAACAACTAAGAAAAAGACTGAAGTTATCATATTTGGATAACAACCAAGAAAAAGACTGAAGTTATCATATTTGGATAACAACTAAGAAAAAGACTGAAGTTATCATATTTGGATAACAACTAAGAAAAAGACTGAAGTTATCATATTTGGATAACAACTAAGAAAAAGACTGAAGTTATCATATTTAGATAACAACTAAGAAAAAGACTGAAGTTATCATATTTGGATAACAACTAAGAAAAAGACTGAAGTTATCATATTTGGATAACAACTAAGAAAAAGACTGAAGTTATCATATTTGGATAACAACCAAGAAAAAGACTGAAGTTATCATATTTGGATAACAACTAAGAAAAAGACTGAAGTTATCATATTTGTAATTATATTTTGCCATTACTTGTCTCCCCAGGTGCAGCCAGCGCTCAGAATGCCAGGGTAGTGACATGTCCAAAAGATGGCTGCCATATGACAGTCAAGAATGTCCAAGAATTAAAAAGATTATACCTGACCAGATACAGAAAGATAAGGAGAGGCTGGTATGTTAGTACTTGTTCTGAGCAAAATATTTAGAACAAAATAACATTTGGGATGGTTTTATTTGAGTTTTATAAAGAAAATGTTAGCACAAAAATAACAGCTAGTATGTTAGTTCTTGCCCTGAACAAAATTCTGAAGAAAAAACACCTGAAATGTTTTTATATGAGTTTCTAAATAAAATATTTATACAAGAGTAACACATCCATTTAAGCATATGAGTTATTGTATTCTGTGCCAGTTTCTTTATAAAATGAGCCGCCAGATGCATTCTTGCAGACGTGAAGGTTGTCAGTTTAAACCTGAACGGAGCTAAAAAAAAATTTTAATGACCTTGGCTTCCTGGTTGACCCAGCCTTAACTCTTTGAGTCCCAGGGGGTTTAGCATCACAGGCCCAGGGAGTAGTCAACAAAGTTATAAAATCGGCGCATCATGCGTTCATTGGGCTTCTAGGTAGGAGCCTATGAACATATGATGCCTTCCTTGGGACTCAAAGAGTTAAACTGGTACCAGGTAAAATGCTGGGAAGTAAAGGTGGCTGGCATGATGTTAACCACATCACCTGCTAAGTGCCAGTTGATCTATAAAAATATTGGTCTAACCCTATATGCCCAGTTTGTCTGAAAGTGGGAAAAGGTCCTTTTGCCTTTTAAGAAAAAACTTACTTGACGATAGAGGGGTGAAGGCTCTCTAGTAACACCTGGACATTGCAACAGGTCAGACAGAGTATCCATACCTGGAGAGACTGGGTTAGTTTGACTTTAGTCGCCCCAAATAGAGTAGGTCACGTTTCATTCACAAATATATATATATATATATATATATATATATATATATATATATATATATATATATATATATATATATATATATATATATATATATATATATATATATATATATATATATATATATATACATATATATATATATAGAGAGAGAGAGAGAGAGTTGTTAACGCTTTGGCTCGGTACTATGGATATCGCAACCCTTCGGCCTTGATTCCATGATGGATACCGTAAATCTGGGAGGAATGTGGCTTCTCTGCCTACCCCTGGGCGTAAACCTGAACCACAAGGAGTTTTGTCACCCGGTGGCCGCCTAGTTCGGTTTAGCCAACTGTGCTAGCGAACCGGGCATATATATAGATAATTATGTAAATGTTTAATGTGAAATTGCATGTACAGATTTTGACATTATGTTTTTTTTTTTTTTTAATTTTTTAAAATTTATTTCCCTTGCAGCTAACTCTGGATATCCAGCATTTGCCAGATTTTCAGATTGCGGCCACGTACCAGTGTGTCTTCACCTCTGTTGGCACACCCTACATCTCAAATCTGACCACTATGGCAAACCGTACAAGTAACAACTTACAGTGCTACACACCAGCAACAGCTCTCCTGCCTCCATTTGAGAAAGGAACAGGTAACTAGGACCAAAAAAAACAAAAACAAAAGAAAGAAAGAACTTGCCTGAATGTCAGATGAAACATAATTTAAACAAGGACTCAAACAAAGAGAAATGCATCACCCTTTACTCTGCAACACAGCAAGTGGTTGAAACACCATCCCCTGTGTTCTCCCATTGGTGGTTGCTCAATCAGTGCTACCCATTGTGAACACACCTTCCGATAGTGCACTGTCTTATAAACACCTTCTGGACTGTCCCAGTTGACACATCAGATTCTTTCGCTTACATTTGCTTCAACAACTATTATCCTGTTTTACTGCATCAATTTTGGCAATGGTTCTTTTCTGTTGCAACACTATGCGCTGAGCCGGCAATGGAAATCTTTAGTAAACTCACGTTGTTTCCAAATCATCTGTGCCCAGTCTGTCACAGTTGTCTTCAACACACATTTGTTAGCTTTCACTGCCTGAATCAAGAATCAAGAACACAGAGGGAACAAAATTGTTATACTTAGTGACTCATTGTCTGTTCTCAAAGCACTATCAAGCAAAAAACAAGACAAACTAATTGCAAATCTAAGGACCAACATTGGCTTACTCTCGAAGGAAGCAGAACTGATCTCGCAGTGGATACCAGCCCACTGTGGTATTCAAGGAAATGAGAGAGCAGATGAGTTGGCAAAAGCTGGGAGTAATCTTCCTCAACCTCATCCACCACACAGCTACAAGGAAACCAAAACAGCGCTAAAGCAGTCTTTCAAGCAGGAGTGGCGAAGGCAGAATGGAGATTACAGACCAGAGAATGACAGCATAAACAAACTCAACAGGAAAGAACAAACAACAATTTTTAGACTTCGGACTGGACACAGTGGTCTTCGAGCACACATGTACAGGATAGGCATAAAAGAATCTGCTGCCTGTGATTGTGGAGCAGAAAGACAGACCCCTGGGCACATACTACAGTACTGCCCTAACCTCTCCCAGCAAAGACTGTGGATCTGGCCCAAGGGAGCCACATTGAAAGAGAAGCTATGAAGGACCGGTGATGACCTTAAACGCACAATCCTATTTGTGACTCAGACGGGACTCAATGCCTAGCATGACTGATGTCGAACGCAGAAGAAGAAAAAGAAGAACTGCCTGAATTTGTTTATAAATGCCCACTGGTCAACATCCTTCACTCCTAGGTGGGGAAAACAAAAATAGACCCACTGCCTACCCAAAAGAATGTTGTAAGGGTCAACTAGTTAGGAGCTTCCTTCAAAGTCAGGGATCTTCTGCCCGAGAGTCAAGGACCAACCATCTGCACAGAAATGAGTCACATCTGTGAAATGGATGTGCACGCAGCATTCAGATTCTGAAACAGAACTGAAGTCTGGAGGTGGACGAACAAATCAGAATTTTCTGCTGGAGTTTACAGCGAACACGAAGCAGAAGAAATCCATCAGATGAAAGCAACTGAACCACTGCTCTTTGAGCTTCTTTGAAAGAATTTTGGATCAATCTGGCCATTGAAAGAATTTTGGATCAATCTGGCCATTGAAAGAATTTTGGATCAATCTGGTCATTGAAAGAATTTTGGATCAATCTGGCCATTGAAAGAATTTTGGATCAATCTGGCCATTGAAAGAATTTTGGATCAATCTGGCCATTGAAAGAATTTTGGATCAATCTGGCCATTGAAAGAATTTTGGATCAATCTGGCCATTTTCTCAACAGTCAGAAATAGCACCTCTGCGTTATGGGGTGATGAGCACATTCTCTTTTATTCATTAGTCGGTGCTTAAAACAGAACTATGACATGATCATCTTCAGCGCATGCAATAACACCTGGTGCAACCGGGTTTCAAATTAATGCTTCTAATAGTTTTACTTGAGAATGTATAAACACTTTTTACAGCAAATGAAGAAGGAGATTTTTATTGTGAGATATATAAAAATGCTTTTGAGAGCTGGATATACTGCATCTCTGACCTAACACTGACTGATGATTGGCACCTTTCAGTCTCTCCAGACGATAGTGTTATATTGCGCTATGAGGAGACATGGGACTCACAGCCTATGGTGATGACGAGTGTGACTAACAAGACCCGCCCATGTCAAGAAAATTCTTCCACAATGATAGCACAGGATTTCAGGACCATTGTTGTCACGTCAACATTTGTGTTTAAGCCATTACTTTTCAGACGTTCAGCTCTCATCATTTCTGCAATCTGTTCTTCCTTCACTCTCATTCCCTTCCTGATATGCCCTTTCCATACAACATGGTCCATGGCATTTTGTTCACATGAGTCCACCTCAATACCTGTATCATTCATGTCCCGCTTGTACACATCTTTATACCGTAGTGAAGGTTGGTCTCAACTTAACACTACAGTGCAGAATAATTCATTTTTATAATCACCGATTGAAACAAGTTTTAAGTTTGACAATTTTCTTTGTTCAGTAAATGATGAATCACTTTAAACTATACAGATTCTGTGGTCATGAAGCTAATCGTTCTGATGAACAATAAAGAACTGGTCCATGAGACAGTCACCTTCTTTGACTGCGGCATTCATACATTGTAAGTTTTTTATTTTATTTTTAAATTATATATTACTGTTCCATCATTTTTCAATCCTATTTCATCAAAACAGTCTCAAAATGGAACATATTTTTTTTTTTTTTTACATTGTTTTCATCTATGAAAATGTATTGTCACTATTGTCCTGTTGTGCCATGTACACGTCGCACAGATCTCACTGTCTCATGTTCCATTCTGTTCTCCCATGCAAGGTTGGCAGAATCGTGGATGAAATCTAGTCTAGCATATCTGGCCTCTCTCATCAGTGTTTCTTTCGCTTGAGTTTCTTTTGGATGTCCCTTTTTTTTCCCTCAACCCATTTCTGTCACTTTTCAGTGATACTTGGTGATTCCCTGCATCTCAGGATATGCCCAATATATTTCTTCTTCGAAGTCATTTAACAATTTATACCAGCAGTTGTTGAGGCATTTCTCTTACAACTTTGCCATTTTCTGTAACATTTATCAGTTTGCTCAGATGGTATGAAAATAAATAAGTATTCCTTTTTAAAATTTTATAATAAAAATCACATAATCAAGTAATATATATTTGAAATTTCAGCAAACGATATTATACATTTTCAGTTTGTCTGAGCCATAGGGCTGCTAGCGAGTTTTGAGTGAACCATATTTCTGAAACACTGGTCCATTCTTTAGGATCTGAAGTCCTACTTGTGTGATGTGTACATTTTTGTGACTGACTGTACCCTGGAGAGACATTTTGTTGTTGTTGGTCAGACTGGTCAGCCTTGTGTTGTATGCATATAATGGCCTTGATGAACTTCTGACTTATGTGTTTGCATCTGAAATTCAACTTGAAATGGCATAGTAATTTAGTATCGTTATTATCACGAATGGACTGTGTCGACAGATCATCCTCACATTAAACTGTTCGGCCTAAAAGTGCTTGAATAATCTCCTCTGAATAAATCTCAGTGTGTAGCAACTCACATTATGAGTTCTGTGTTGGTTTTCTATTCTTCCTTGGCTTCCTGTATCCTATGTCTGGCGTCACTCATTTTAACTTGTTGTGTTTCTTTCTGTAGTCTGGTCAAGGTTGCTAATTTATCTTATTCATGAATGAAAGTGTTTAGTTAATTTGCTTTCCACCACTGTACTCAAGAGTTTGAATCTAAGCTAGTATGTGACTTGATAGCCATGTAACTATTTTCATTTGCTCACCATTGATAACGATCCAGTTTCATGACTAATTTGTGCAGATGACAGATAATTCAAATGATAAGAAAGCTAATCTTGTATGACGCTAGTCCATGAATAATTTGACTAACTGTTGTATGACTAAACTAATGTATGAAAAAGCAATACATTTTTAACTGACTTATAAACACTAAAATATGACCATATAATAATTTATCTTTTATGCAGAATTCTCATTTGAAAAGCCATAGTTTTGTCAAAGTACAGTTTTTTTTATTTTAAATAATTCAGATTAGAAAACCAAACTGGCATGTAAGATGGATGTTAACAAACTAGGTTACTAGTGCATTAGGTGTTAATGCAGTTTACTGAAATATTTCAAATACTTATTTTGTTACCTGTTGTTATTTTTTGTTCTATGTTAAGTAAGGTGCATAAACACTAACATTAAGCGACAATTAGGCACTTGATCGTGTATTATTTCATAATTCTGTTTAATTGCAGATGTACAGCATGTACACTGAGCCAGTTTTCCTGTACTTGGTGTGTGGACAACCATCTTTGTACAGAAAACACAGACCAGTATTGTAACACAGATGTTCTTATTACTGGCATCAATGTAAGTTCTCATGCAGTTTTCAGCTGCATTTAATCTTAGATTAGTTACACTTACACTACAATAGGTTATGCTAGCATGCATGGTACGTTTAACCTCTGGAATTCATACAGTTAATATGGTATGTTTCCCAGACAAAAATTAAATAAGTCAATAGACTATTTCAAGGCATTTACTCTGTACCATACAGTGTTAATATTATAATTCAGTCAGTCAATCAGATGCAATATTCACAAGGACCAAAACTCAACTTGGTTGTACTTTCTCTCACACTGCAATGAACAGGCAGACAAATTGGCCAGATCCCAGGCGAAGACAGGCATGCTTCGAGCAGAGTGGCAAACTTCACTGGAAGTCGCGGGAAGTGAGCATACTTTAGATCTTTTCTCCAAGCCATGCCAGTCTGGTGGGTAATGAACAGGCAGACAGATTGGCTGGATCTGCACCGCTTGGGGGGGGGGGGGGGGGTGAATTGATACATGACAAGGCGGATATGGTCAAGGCCCTTTGGGAACAAGTAGTGAAATCAGTAGAGAAATCAGTAGAGAAAGAAGATTGTTATGGCCTGGAGAGAATGAGGCACCTGGGTATAACCAGAGGGTCTGGCCGGCTCACTGCACGCAGAGGAAAGACAAGACGGACCTTTAACCAGATTGTGACTGGTACCATCAGTATTGGAACTCTGCACTGGCTGCTGAAGATGAGGATGGAGCATGCATTGGAATGCCCTGAGTGCTATGATGTCATTTCTTGACTCAACTCAACTCACACTGCAATTTTTCCACGTGATGTAATCCTGTCATTTTTACTGCTGTTTGTTTCCCGCTGTTCTGCTGCAAAAGTTTTCCTCCATGATGTTTTTGATAAGACATAAGATTTTAGAATGAGCCCTTTGAGCAGTAATTATCAAGATTTTGGGGGCAAAAAAAAACCCAAGGTTTCTTCCACAGTTGTTAGTTCCTATGAATTTAGTTGGTATCAACTTCCTTTAACTTTATGTGTTGCTGACCTCCTTCTGTACTTTTATCTGTTGAATTTAAACATTGATAAAATCAGCAAATGTTTATTAAAGTTATGGGGTTTGTATGGCCAAATGGTCAAGCCGCTTAATACGCACTCTGAAATGTTGTGGGTTTGTTTCATGGACACATTGTTCAGTTCACAAGTGCACACTTTTCAGAAATCCCTGGGGACTGTCACTGGAGCTTTTGAGTCTGTGCTTTGTGTGATATTCTCAGCAGGCAGCTAGCCCATTCTGAGGAGAGACTAAGCCATATGGGTCAAATTTGTTTTGCCAGCTGCCTGACTGCTGACCAAAGTAAAAACAGAGGAAAACATGTTAACTCTTCATTTCGTTGTCCACTTATTTGATATCTGCTACTACTTAGAGTTTAGAAATCTGATATACATGGATGGAGTATTGTTTCTAATAGATGGAGTATTGTTTCTAATAGATGGAGTATTGTTTCTAATAGATGGAGTATTGTTTCTAATAGATGGAATATTGTTTCTAATAGATGGAGTATTGTTTCTAATAGATGGAGTATTGTTTCTAATAGATGGAGTATTTTTTCTAACAGATGGAGTATTTTTTTTAACAGATGGAGTATTGTTTCGTATAGATGGAGTATTGTTTCTAGTAGCTGGAGGATTGTTTCTATTAGATGAAGTGCTGTATTAGAATCCATATGATTTCTCTGTTGGTTTTTATTATTGACATCTCTGTGAATACTGTTGTCCACAAATAGGAAATAAAAAAAATTAAAAAAAACACGGCAGGCAGGAATATGTGGTAAACCACAAAGGCACTTTTGCGAACCACCATTTGAAAAACACTAAAACAGCTTGATGAAAACCTCTTCTATGGAACAACTTTTACCTTTTACAGCATGTGTGCCATCAAACCTCAAGCTTAACTTTGTTTCTTTAAACAGAAGAGTGGAACATCAACTACTCCAGGGCCTAAATACTGCCCAAAGATGGAATCTGTTCTCCCTTCAAGTGAAATTCTGGTCGCTGCTGGATCCAAAAAAAGCATCGAAGTCAGAGGTCTGTCTTTGCAGGATTATCAGCTGAAGAATTTGCGGTGTCAGTTCAATTCTTTAATAGAAGTAGAAGCCAAGGTCACACTGCTTCAAGACAGTGACTACCTGATAACATGCAAGGAATATGAGGTAAGAGGAGAAAGTAACCTATTGGCTGATGCCTGCCTGCTGTTTATGGTTATCTGGACGAATCAATGAGAGAATCTGCTTTTGTCTGCTTGTTTTGTTCATTTTATTCCGCTTCTTCTTCACTTCCTGTTTTACTGCTTCAGGAGATATAAGGTTTTGCTTCTTGTTCTTCCAGGTACCTCAGCCATTGAAACATCCTACTGTTATTAAGTTTCTCTGACATTATCTTTCCACATTTTTCTTGATCTGCCTCATGGCCTATGATCCTCTCTTCTTTGGGTGTACAACTTTTATGGGATGGCATCAGAAGGTACCCCTCTAAGTAGGCAAACCTTTTGATTTGCTGACATTGGTTAGAGACCCGTTTTTTCTCGTGTCTTGATTTCTGATTTGTGTCTCTTCTGAACATAATCTTTCATTTGCTTTTCATGGTTACTATTTTTTTTCTTGTTTTATTCTTTAATTTGCAGTTTTAAACAAATCTGTCATTGTTTAATAATTATACCAGCTGCAATATACACATAAAATGTTAGTATACTGTCCAGTTTTTTTTTAAATTTAATTTTTTTTAATGCAGATGGTACAAATTGGTAGCTTTTCTAGTTCACTAGCTAACAAGATTGCCTACTGACCTAATGTTCTTAGGTTCAAATCCCTGTCACTGTAGATTCTAAAAATTGACCTGGACTGCCAGGTCACCACAGCCTAAAAAAAAGAGTACCAGAAAATTCCTCGGGAAGTTAAAGTGGTTGACACCTGATATTGTCCATATAACCCACCTAACGTTGACCCAGAATGCTTCAGGGCATAAACATTGGATTGACCAGCAGCTGTTGTCTGGTCACAGAATTGTCAGGGTGCCATCATTTAGGGAAAGTTGACTGTCCTTTTGCCGTTGAATCAGTAAATTAACGTTTAGTTTAAATCACTTGAATTAAAATTGTGTCAACAGGTTCTAAGAAGAGAACTGTTCTTCTGTTGGTTAGGTATAGGATAGACAAAAAAAGAGAAGACTTTAAAACTTGGGGCAAACATTTTTTTTTAATGACAAAAATGTGGCTCAGTGAGTGGGCTAGAAAACTGGGCTTTCAAGCAGGAGTTTATTTTATCAGTTGCAGAATTAAACATCTAGAACCTGCACATTTCTTGGCAACTGCCCTGAACTCTCGGGCTCAAGTCCCTATCCACACAAACATACACACACACACGCACACATGCACACTCGCGCATGCACACACACACATGCATGTATACACACACAGGCACAACTGGTAAACACAGGCAGTAAGCTGATTTTTTTCCCCAAATAATTTTTAAAAACTGCGAAAGCAATTGAAACTAAAATACAAATTTAGCACTGTATTTTTTCTCAACAGTTTGATTACATTAGAGAGGCAGACGTTCAGCACATTCCCTTGAGAATTCTCTGGGGTGACAGAGAAAATTATCTTGACAATCCAAATGGAATTTTAGGTAAGTTTCACTTCCCCATTGGCAGTATAAGACCACCTTAAACTTTAATAATGCTGAACATCTTTAAAAAAAATTTAAATATCACAGTAGTGAGTAGAATTTAAAGCACTTATATTTAATTTAACAGTCAGTTAGTTGTGTATCCTTTGCAGGACCTTGCAAAACCCACTCCAACGTTTTCTATTTATATATTTTTTTTTCTTGTTGGTGTTTTTCTATGAAAATTTACAATCAGTTGTTTGCCATTGTATTGCAATTGTAACAGTCGTATTAATTTAATTAGTGATATCTTGGTCAACTCTTCTGAGTTATAACTGGGACAGATGAGAGTTTTTTCTCCTTCTTTCTGATATTGGATGTTTAAAGTTTTCTAATACTTTTGGCGGCAGTTGGTTTAGCAGCTTGACACTTGCCTGCCGATCAGAAAGTCATGTGTTCAGGTCCTAAGGAAGCCGGACTATATTTTCTTCCAAAAATTCCCTTGACTCCTAGGTTGTCCCAGCTTTAAATAGGTACCAGGTAAAGTCCTGGAAAGTAAAGGCAGCTGGTGTGATGCTGACCACATCACCCACCAATTGATGATTAGTCTATAAAATAGAGATCTAGCCCTATATGCCCAGTACACCTGAAGGCGGGGAAAAGGATCCTGTACTTTTGGCTGTTTAACCCTTTTTACTCCGTGAAGCTGATAATTAAGCCACTTTAAACATGACAACCCCCCCCCCCCCCTCTCACCCACATTAAACCTTTGTATTGGCTTTGCTTCTTTGGCTAGCCAGACCAACCTAGCTATTGGCCTAATTATGGATTGTGCTCCTACTTCTATCATTAGTTCACCTGTGTGTGCATCATTAGTTCACCTGTGTGTGCATCATTAGTTCACCTGTGTGTGCATCATTAGTTCACCTGTGTGTGCATCATTAGTTCACCTGTGTGTGCATCATTACCTTTCCCTGCAGTGGTGGTGTTCAAGTGCAGGAATATGGCACATACGTGTGGCGAGTGTCTGACCACTGATCCCAAGTTTAACTGTGGCTGGTGCGGCAATGCCAACTGTGTGGCTGACATCTTCTGCCAGAGAACTGGTTTCTTGCGGACTGGAGCTGTGTGTCCCAACCCTCAGATTTACAGTGTAAGACTTTATAAATGAAATACATTTTTTAATCAATTGTAGTTTCAGTTGTTGCTGTAAATGGGTGTATGTGCATCCGTGTGTGAGAGAGAGATAGAGAGGAAGTAAAGAAGGAATGTGTGTGAGAAAGAAATAAAGAAAAAGTGACGCCGGGGTAGGGAGAAAATGAGATTAGGAGTCAGTGATAAAGAGAAAAGTAAGAGAGAAAGACAATTTAAATGAATGAGATAAATTGAGTGAGTGCGAATAAATGGGTGGGTGGAAGAAAGAAAGATATAGTTAAGGAGGATGAAAAAGAATAAGTGAGGGAGAAAAGTATAGAGAGAGACAAAAGTGAGTGAATAAGTGAGAACAGAGTTCAAAGAAATCAAAGTGTGAGAGAGAAAGACAGAGTCACAGGGCAAGGGAAAAAAATTAAATTGAGAGTCAGTGTTAAAGAGAAAAGTAAGAGAGAAAGATAGAAGGAAAAAGAATGAGATAAATTGAGTGAGTGGGGTGTGAACAAATGTGTGATAGAAACAGAGAAAGAACTTTAGGGATTGATTTTTATTATGTGAAACAGAATCTTTTCATTTATATATTCACATTTCCCGAGTGAATTAAACATCTAATTGCTTGTTCATTGTCTAGATTCATGCATCTTATACAAATGCAGAATATAAACAAAACTGTATAATTCTTTTGTGCATAACTAGATATTAAATTTGGGCTATCCTCCGAAAAACGGGCACAAAAGATGGCGGCCACAAAATATCCTAACGAGCCTCAGTCACGTGTCAATTGCGCACTTCCGGCGACTTAATTTGCGGTTTTCTGGTGACTACCGCCACCGCCAAGAGTCCACCACGCCGCTCATGTGGCGTGGTTTGGGGCTAAACTAGATGGCTAGGACTCACTGGCAAAGCTGCAGGACACCGCGTGAGCGACGTGGGGGACTCTTGGCGGTGGCGGTAGTTGCCGGAAAACGGGAAAGTAAGTCGCCGGAAGTGGGCAATTGACACGTGACTGAGGCTCATTAGGATATTCTGCGGCCGCCATCTTTTGTGCCCGTTATTTGGAGGATAGCCTAAATTTGTTTAAATGTTTAATGTTGTTAAATGTAGCTGATGTGTACACATACGACTTATGAATGAATTGTTTATTTTATTTTAGTTCTTACCAAAGTATGGTCCTCTACATGGGGGTACTCTAGTGACCATTCATGGCAAAAACCTGGGTTCCAACATTGAAGAGTTACAAGTTAGCATTGATTCTGTCAAGTGCAATGTCACAGAGCTAAAAGCCCATGAGAGGTAAGTTCACATTTCCTTGTTCTAACATTTTATAATGTTTATTACATTTCTCTTAACAAAGATATCATACGATTAAATTCAATTAAAAGTCTGTTCATATGGCTTTTGGGCATTGGTACAAGAATCACACCACAGAAGAGATTAAGACATCTCCATCTAACATTCCCATTTCTAGCTAGTAGTAAGGGCACATTAGGCACTGCTGCCAACCTCCATTTTGTAGATCAGATTGATAGTACGTGTGCCTATATTATTTGATATTATTAAAGTTTATGTGGCTAAGTCGATGCGAACGCTTCGTAATGCTGGGGTGCCGGGTTCAATCCCAGCTGCGGGCTATGCGCCTTGCGTTGGTTTGGACAGTGGTATCAGGGGGCCGAAAGTCCAGAAAGCAATGACAAACTACTGGACATAAATTTGCCTAGAGAAAACCACACAACATCCAGGTAAAGGATACACAGCTAACCTTTATTAAAGTTTCTAAATTAGGGCTAAAAATAGAAACAATTTACATAACATTTGTTTGTTTTTATAGCGGCATGGTGCAAAGGCATTGATAATAAATATATTTCTTCCTATTTCCACCCCCCAGCCCACCCCCTATTCCCCATTTTCTTCTTCTTTATATATCAGCTTGCAAATATTTACAGAAAGTAGCATTCAATTTTTGCCTGTTCACAACTCCATAATTGTAGAATCCTACATACTTTTTATAGAATCAACCGTATTTATTTACCTGATTGGGTTAAACATTTTATGTTTTAACATGTTTGTTTGATTGTTTGGTTTTATGGATAAATTTAATGTGGATATTTTTAGGATTATTTGCAAGACTGAACCAACAAGTTTTCCCTTGAATGACAAGGTCAGGGTTATCATAGGACAGGGTACAGGAAATCACTTCATGACAGAATCTGTTGAAGAGTTCCATTTTGTGGTATGTAACTTTCTTTTGTACATGTTTTTGTCATACATCTTTTGATACACGCTAGACCTAATTATCACACTGTTATGTGGGAGAGGGAAACCGAAAATATTAATAGCGAAAAAAAAAGTAATAATAATAATAATAATTTTAAGCAGAATATATGAATAGAAGAAGTGTAGACAATGAGCAATTTTTCTTACAAAAGCAGCTTGGCTAGTATGGTACTTTTTATGATGCCCACACATTGGAAAGTTCCGAAAATAATCCAGTGAACAATGACTGAAAAGCCTAACAAAATCTGGAAGCAGAATAATGTGCACAAAACAACACGAAAAGATGTTTTGGCACTGGGCTTTTCTTGACAAAAAAATGGACTACAATGGCAGTAACAAGGGGGAGAGTACTTCAAACACAAAGGGGGTCAACAAGACCCTATAAAAAAGGTGATGTAGGAGGAATAAAATAAAGTAAAATAAAATAAAATAAAGGAAGGCTTAAAAAATAGCCGTAAAAAAAGTAAAAGTGATAATATATGATATAATAGTAGGAATAAAAGAGTAGTAGAAATAAAAATGTGAATGACCATAAATAAGAGACAAAATAAAATGATAATGTGAAATAAAACAAAATAATATAAGCATAAAAATAATAAAATGAGACAACAAGAAAAACTGTTTAGATAAAGGTGTGCTGGACATTGAAGCCTCCTGGATTAAGAACATCTAGGCTGTGGATTGGACGATTTTCCAAAGAGAGGCAGCATGGTATGATCGCCAGAACAAGATTTCAATGCTGTGACAGATATATCATCTGTGCCCTTGTGGTCAGGGCTATTAAAATTGGAGAGGGACTGGTTTAAGTGTCTGCTGGTCAATATCAGAGAGATGTTCCCGGAACCCATCAGCTAACTTCCTGCTGGTTTTCCCAATGCATGCCTTGTTGCATCTTTTGCAGATTATGGCTTACATAATGTTGCAAGATTCACAAGTAAATGGCTCTCTTATTTGGAAAGACCCATTGGGGAAACTGACCAGGTCAGAAGAGTGCATCTTTCAAGCGATATTCTAGCCTTTGAGGCAGTTTTTATGGAAACATTTGTGCACTCAGAAACTTGTGATTTCTTCATTTTGGTATCACCATATGCTTTATTAAGCAAACTTACTTTCTTTAAGGGTTTCTCAAGCAAAACAAAAAATGGGACATTAATGCATTGTTCAGCCAAAGACATTTTCAACTCTGATAATGCTACACTCACAAACACAAACTTCTGTTAGAGAATTAATGTGAACGTTGCATCTGCTATGTCGTTTTGTCAAGGCCACTATCAACTTTTAAAACTATCATCTTCATATCATAATTACTAACTGATACATGAGTTGACTATTCTGGGAACTTTTGAAGCAGTCGTGTATTTATCAGTGGTGGCCAGCCTTTTAAGGTTTCAGGGCTACATTTCATTTCAGAAAAAATGGATGGTCTACTTTATAGAGCAGGCTATTCAACTAAGTTTAATCAGGGGCCAAAATGTTGAAAATAAGGATCATCTTTTGCCAGAGGCTGGAGCCCCAGCATAGAAAGATCACTAACACAATACAATGAGTGACTTGCTGGGCATCTGCCGGCTAGATTCAGCTCATGGGCTGCCCATTGAATAGTCAGCCCTTTTATAGTCAATATAGATAGGCTCAAAAAGGTAAAGGTAATGTCGGGAGATGTAAACCAGCGTCATTGCACACGGTTATAATCCATTATTGCTCTGCCACCAATATGGAAGTAAGTCCTAAATGAAACAAACACAAATGTGTGTGTTGTTCACCATAATAAAAAAGAACTCCTCTTACATTTCACTATGACAGTGGTAACTTTGGTTTTCTCTTAATGCCTTCTGTTGGTTTCATTACAACTGAAAGCTTCTCGAAAACAAATGCTGCAGAGGAATACACTGTAACATCTGTGCATTGCAGCAATGTCACCTCAGCAACATCTGGCACAAACAATCTACAAATCACTTCCCGACATACCTGGGTATGACATTTGACAGATGCTTGTCATACAAATGCCACGTAGACAACGTCATACTTAGAGCCAGAAAAGGTCTGACAGCACTCAAGGTGCTAGCAGCAGCTGATATTGAACAACGCCTACTTTTCCTTCTCTATCAAGGGCTTGTGCTTAGCGTCATTGACTATGGTCTTGGCCTCCTCACTGTCAGCAAAACCCAGCTAGAAAGACTGGACCGAGTACAAAATGAGGCCATGAGACTCATACTCGGCTGCACAAAAGACACCTCCTGCAACGCCATGCGTTATGTCCTGGGTTTGCCAACGATGACTAGCAGATACAAAGTGGCACAAGTCAAGGCTTACATGAGGGTATCGGCAGACGCTAACCACCCATTGCACAAAGCTATATACGACACAAAAGGAACGCGTCTCAAAAGAGGCCGCTCTTGGATGGCAAAGGCTGAGAATTTGATCCAGCAGGTATGTGACCTACGCGTTATCAGGCACGGAAAAGAATGGATGAATACACCAGTAGACATGCATGGCATCTCTAAGGTTGTCATCACACTAGGAAGGTACTGTCAGATTCCTGCGGCCATAGACACAGAAGTAAGGGAACTGATAGATCAGCATTCAGACCCAGAAGATATCATCATCTACACAGATGGGTCCGTGAAGCGCGGATCAAGGTCAGCATGGGCATACACAGCGCAAAGAAGGGGGAAAACAATACATGAGGACAGCGGCGCTTACCAGACAACCACGTCAAGCATGACCATGGAAATAGCCGCTGCTTCTAGAGCTTTAGCATGGGTATCCGAGCAAACCGCCACACAAGCAGTAATTGTCTCAGACTCAATGAATATGCTTCAGAAAATAGCAACAGGCAGTATGCGCTCTGAATGGATAGAAAGCATTCGGAAATCGCACTTAACTTCCGTAACCTGGATCTACACACCGGGTCATGCGGGCGTAAAGGGAAATGAGCGAGCGGACCAACTGGCAAGCACAGCACTAATGATTGCGGGAAAAAGCATGGACAGAGCAGATATCGTTAACGCTGTACGTACTGGGCTAGTGGATAATATCGAATCCCTGACACTAACACGATTGCGTGACATGGGAGTTAAGCATGGTGAAGCACGTCTTTGCCGTCTGCGAGGCCGAGAAAGGAGACAATATAACCAGCTTCTCATGGGGACAATTAGTAGAAGTACTTTGGAGTGGCTGCTGCTTCGGAGGACTGCGCACGCATGGGTATGCCCAATGTGCAGTGACGTCGATTGTGATAACAAAACACAAAATAACATTTTATAGGAAGTCGGCATTCTGAAACCCAAGTTCAAGGTGTCTCCTTCGTGCCAAAGAACTGCATGGCTGTTGGGTGAACAGTCGTTAACGAAGGCAGTCAGGTCGTTGTAGGGGCGACGCCTGCTGGTGGATGTAATGTCCTAAGTCCCTTTCCCAGCTAATAGTGAGGGTACTGCTGGGGTGACCATTTGTTAACCCCTCACATAATGCTTCAAGTCACAGTGGACACTAGGCACGACCACTTTTTTTTTTTTTTTTTTTTTTTTTTTTTTAAAGCCGTGGCAGTTCTGCCAGGCGGTGGCCGTTGCATTTTTGCTCCATTTGTAGACTGGAAGGATATAGTTTCGTCACCCAGCTTCTGAGTTGAGTGCATGGTGTGACACTGTGAGCTACGAGTGTTTTTCGTTGGCACAGGAGCGGAGCAACAATGGGGTGACCCGTTTGCTATGATGCTGAAACTAGGATTACCAGATTACCAGATTACTTCCCGACAGCATTAATAGTCACAGTAAATCCACAAGTGGAGCTTTTCAGTGGTGTGTTAAGAGGCATTCCAGAAAAAGCCAAAATATTTATGAGTAAGCCAGATTTTACACTTTGGCTGGTAACTTTGTGTCAAACCACTAGAGATCAGTTCTATACAGAGTCGTCTGTTTACTAGCCCACTAGAGGGAGTGAAACAACAATTTTTGTTACAGACAGTACAACACAGACTGTTTTGGGCTACCTTTCACAGCTTGTTGGTTAAATAATAGGTTGTGGTTGACAAACTGGTCCGTCTCTCTGTATGTCATAATTAAATCATGCTTCTTTTTCAAAGAAAACCCATTCAATAATTGCTTGTAACTGGTACGAAGACCACAAGAGAAGAGCCAACAAAATTAATAGAGCAGCAAAGATGACAATTATGAGCTTGAATTGTTTCTCTGTTATCTCTGAGTGGACAAGAAGTTATAGGTCATGTTTGATCTTTTCTTATATTGACAGAAACCAAACATCCTGGACATATCCCCAAGGCTGGGCCCACATGCTGGTGGTACAATTGTCACCTTGCTAGGAGATTATCTTGATGCCGGATCCAACATTTCTGTGCAAATTGGCAAAAGATTCTCCTGCATTAACCCACAAAGGTATGTTTAGAATGTTTTCTCTTTGACTGACCCAGAAAAGTATAAGTAAGGCTAGTCAGGTAAGAAAAAGGCTGTCATGACGTGAGTAAGAGGTAGGCAATGATACAAGAGAAATTATCAAATCAAGATATGGAAGAACAGCAGTCTATCAGAGTATACAATAGGGCAATAGGCAGTCTGCAGGAGATTTTTTGCAGCCAACTCTCATAATTACATTTTTTTTTACCATTAACTAAAATAGATTTTTCGCATTTCTAGTAATTAATAAATACAAAGTTGTTTTGAGGCCCCAGATTTGTGAATTTGGAGAAGAATTAAATTATATTTCAGTGAAATAGAAACAATGGAATATGGAGATTTTGGAGACCCTGAATGAAATGGAAAAAAAAAATTATAATAATTCAGCAACATGAAAAGACTTATTAGTAATCTTATTTAAAAATATGAAATTAAACAGAGAGCATTGGAGACTTAAGAAAAACCTTGGTGGCTGAAACAGACATGCAACAAACAAGATGTTTATGAATCTTGTGTTCAAAATTAATAGTAATTAGTTTCAAATTCACAAACTGTTTTAATGAGATAGCAGTAGCAATAATTTGCAGTAGGTAACAAATATGAATTATAAGTATTTTGAATACATACATAATAAGTGAGTATTAGCTGCTGAAATAGATTTTGCAACAATTATTGTGGTTTATCAGACAAGCTCCTGGCGTTTATTCTAAACCTGATATTTCAACAACAAGAAAACAGGAAAAAATAAGAAGTAGATTTTGCAACAGTTATTGTGGTTTATCAGACAAGCTCGTGGCGTTTATTCTAAACCTGATATTTCAACAACAAGAAAACAGGAAAAGATAGGAAGTAGATTTTGCAACAAATATCACGGTTCATGAGAGATTTTGCAGAACTTTATGCATATTTTTGTTTTGTAGGAAACAGGAAAAAAAAAACCAGAAGTGACATGTAAAGAAACACCATGGTTTATGGCAGTGTTCTTCAACCCTAAGGCCACAGCCCACAAGTCAGTCATGTAAAAACCATATGAATCTCCTAAAAAAAAAACCAAAAAAAACTGCTGGTAGTTTTTCTCCCTAAGTCTGTAGGATTAACACCTCAAGGAGTTCCTATTTGTGTAAAAAGACTTTTTCAGGCATATCAATAATGAAAACCAAACAAGAGAAATTGAAAGGATATTACTGCATATATATATGAAACAACATTCCAGCCACATATAGATTTTGAAACCTGTACGCAGCAGTTGTCATTTTAGGATATTACTGCATATATATATATGAAACAACATTCCAGCCACATATAGATTTTGAAACCTGTACGCAGCAGTTGTCATTTTGGCTACATTTTTGACATCATTTTGAACAAATAAACTGCTAACTATATTTGTTTCTTCTCTGGTTCACTTCAATTGGGCCAAGGAAAAAATCCATCATTTTGGTGGGCTGTGGGTTTAACCGTTGAGGAACACTGGTTTATGGGACACATTCCACAGTTTTATTCATAGTTTTCAGTTTTTAAAAAAAGCTACTTATGATTGCCCTGTTTTGCACTAGTTTCTTCAACTTTGATTTCAGTATCAATGCTTCTGCTCTAATTTGCAAGACATCAGCTGTACCGCAGCCGATATCGCAAGCTTTGAAGGTCACCATACAGATGGATGATGCTGTGCTGCAAACAGCAGGTGTGACCTTCAAATATGTGGAGAACCCAAACATCACCTGGGTGTCCAGAAATATGCTTATCAGAAGGTCAGTCTGTGAGCTTATTTTGATGAAACCATTAGTCAAGGTTCCAAATTTACTGCAGATTGGTCACCCCATAAGTTCTGTGTTAACCTTGCCTGTGGAAATCAAACAAATGTCCTCTGTTATCCTTTAAAAAAAGGGCAGGGGGGGGGGGGGGGGGGGGGGGGGGGGGGGGGGGGGGGGGTGATAAAACATAATAAGTCGCAGCAAGATCTTAATGCTCGCAAACACACAGTGAATGCATAAGACAACTGTCATATGTGCCAACACTAACAGTGTCCCACTGGAGTTGCAGCTCCCTGTTGATTGCAAGCACTCAGTCACAAAAGAAGGCATTTGCCCAGGCCATACTATATAATTTTAAGCCATTCTGAATGCAATCACCATTTTATGTGCAATTAAATAGATACAGTGTTTCCTCCATGACACTCTGGTAATATTGAGACGATAAAAGACAAAAAAATGTTGTCTTTAAAGTGCGTCTGTCTGAGAAACAAGGAACCTACAGTTTGCCTACAAATAAATCAGATCAATAAAAATGGATGTGCATGCAAACTCAAGCTCTGGATCAACACCAAAGTTCAGGAGTGGACGAACAACCAGAACTTTCTGCCTGAATTTACAGCTGGTGAACACTAAGTAGAAGAAGACAGTGTACTCTGTCATTACCTCATTATTGTGTTCCATGCTGACGTCAGGACCAGTTCTGTGTTCTTTTACTGGCTATATTCATCCATGCTTATATTTCTGACTGTATTCATTTATTATATTTCTGACTTTATTCATTAATTATATTTCTGACTGCATTCATTAATTATATTTCCGACTTTATTCATTAATGATATTCTGACTGTATTCATTAATGATATTTCTGACCTTATTCATTAATGATATTTCTTACATCTGTCAGCACTCGGTAACAGTGTGTTTTGTTTATGATCTGCAGTGGAGGTCTTCAGATAAATATATCAGGGGAGAACATTCACATTGTCCAGTTCCCTCAACTGATCATTTGGGCCAGTGGAAACAGCTCATATTTTGGTGTAAGTAACTAACATGTATAAAGTAAGTAGAGATCCCTTTTTCACGCCCTTAGGCGCATCGGGTATATGGGAAGAGCATCCATGTTTTTACAGACCATTCGGCACTTGGTGGGTAATGTGATCAGCACTATGCCAGCTGCCTTTACTTCCCCAGGAAACTAATATGTATGCTGAATATGGTGCTGTTTTGTTTCTATAATCCGGCATTTTTGTTGTTGCAATTTGGGAAATTTGAACTTATAATTTATTTATGTTGATAAGGGGGTTGAATATGTAGGATGTAGGACAGACTTAGAAGCATTAGATTGGAACTGTAATGTTTAAAAAAAAATTTTCAATGTCTGTCAGTACAGACAATGAGAAGTTAAACAGTCAAAGCTAATGACAGTGGAAATATGGGTTTTAAGAAAAAAAGTTCATAAATATTTGGACAGAGAAAAATTCAGCGCCAAAAAAAAAAAGAACTATAAGTTTTCGATGTTACCATTTACTTGTTATCCTTATTGACATCCTTGTGGGACCCATTTGTACTCCATACTCTAATGCAGCAACTATCTCAGTATCCAAACTCTCCATACCCAGCAGGAGTTGACTGGCTTATCTTCTTTCTTTGTTCCATTTCCAGCAGGAGTTGGCTGGCTTATCTTCTTTCTTTGTTCCATATCCAGCAGGAGTTAGCTGTCTTATCTTCTTTCTTTGTTCCATACCCAGCAGAACTTGATTGGCTTATCTTCTTTCTTTGTTCCATACCCAGCAGGAGTTGACTGTCTTATCTTCTTTCTTTGTTCCATACCCAGCAGGAGTTGACTGGCTTATTTTCTTTCTTTGTTCCATATCCAGCAGAACTTGATTGGCTTATCTTCTTTCTTTTTTCCATATCCAGCAGAAGTTGATTGGCTTATCTTCTTTCTTTGTTCCATATCCAGCAGGAGTTGGCTGGCTTATCTTCTTTCTTTGTTCAATATCCACCAGAACTTGATTGGCTTATCTTCTTTCTTTGTTCCATATCCAGCAGGAGTTGGCTGGCTTATCTTCTTTCTTTGTTCAATATCCACCATAACTTGATTGGCTTATCTTCTTTCTTTGTTCCATATCCAGCAGGTGTTGGCTGGCTTATCTTCTTTCTTTGTTCCATATACAGCAGGAGTTGGCTGGCTTATCTTCTTTCTTTGTTCAATATCCACCAGAACTTGATTGGCTTATCTTCTTTCTTTGTTCCATATCCAGCAGGAGTTGGCTGGCTTATCTTCTTTCTTTGTTCCATACCCAGCAGGAGTTGGCTGGCTTATCTTCTTTCTTTGTTCCATATCCAGCAGAACTTGATTGGCTTATCTTCTTTCTTTGTTCCATACCCAGCAGAACTTGATTGGCTTATCTTCTTTCTTTGTTCCATATCCAGCAGGAGTTGGCTGGCTTATCTTCTTTCTTTGTTCCATACCCAGCAGAGTTGATTGGCTTATCTTCTTTCTTTGTTCAATGTCCAGCAGGAGTTGATTGGCTTATCTTCTTTCTTTGTTCCATATCCAGCAGAACTTGATTGGCTTATCTTCTTTCTTTGTTCCACAAGCGGTTTTTGCATGATTGTCCTCATTGAATACCCATTACCAACAAGCAGTTCACCACCTCTGACTTCTTTGTCTTAGGGGTGTGCACATTCAGTATGTCTGCCCTGTCCATACTGTATCTTCAACTAACTACTGTAACATGGCCAAACTGTTGGCTCTTTCATTTCCTTTCTTCCTGTTGTGTGCAGTAAGATAATTTCTTGATGTGGGACTTCTGGATGATGTCAACATATTCTAGTCGGAGTTTGCCAGTTTGGATCTTCCTAAGCATGAGTTGTTGCTTATTTAATTATGAGATGTTACTAAATTATTCATCAAACTGAATAGTACAGGACAAATGAAAGTTATGAGGCACAACAGCAGAAGTGAAATATGGAAATAAGCCTTTTTTGTTGTTGCTGTAATATTAGGTGAGAGAAGTGTAGGAAGATAGAGAAGAAATATTTTTTTTATGCTAAACTATCTAAGCAACAAAAGAAGCAATGAAAAGAAATGCTGTTGAGGATTGGAGAGAGCAATAACAATATTGAAACCAAAATAAATTAAACACAATATTTTCTTTCAAAATCTAACCTAGGAAGGGTTGAACATGCTATCTGTGATAAAATTATGACTACAACTTAAGCAGCAACAGAGGAATTTACCCCCCAAAAAATGGAGGAGGAAATAAGAAGAAACAGAAGAATCTAAGTGTTATTAAATAGTGATGATACTGAATATTGTGTGCATATTTTATTAGGTGAATCTCTGCTAGGGATGTACACACAAAACTCAAAGCCCTGGCACAAAAGAGATGGACAATCAGGACTTTCTGCTGGAGCTTACAGCCAGTGAACAAAGAAGAAGAATAACAGTTTGGTAGAATGAAGAATGAATTGTTCTTTTTCATATTTTTGTTAGTGGGTTGATGGCTGTGGAGAAAAAAATTGAAAACTGGACCTGCCAGATTAGACAGTAAAAATACATAACGCTCTTATAGAAATATACTGGATGAAAAAGGTGAAGGCACATGAGCAAAAGGTAGAAATGGTACAAACATAAGGAAAACATTCAGAGATGGATGAATAGCAGTTTGTCTCAGAGAGTTTACGACCAAGGCAAGAAACATAGGGTACTGCAGATCCATTGCAGCCAACCCTAATTGAGGAGACAACATCTGATAGATTAAAACCTAATTTACTAAATTTCTATCATTGATGAACAAATGATATAACTTTTGTGTTTGTTTTCTCCAGCCATGTCAAATCAGCAATGGCACAACAACCAACATGACATGTATTTCACCCATGATCTCAGAGTTGGACGAACAGTTTGAAGGATTGCGAGAACTGGATTTTGGTTTTGATATGGATGGTGTAAAGTACCTTGAGCGGCTTACTACCTTGGGGCGGATGAAAGTTTATCCTGATCCTGTTTTAGAAAAGTACAAGGATGGAGAGAAAGTCCATCAGCATAATCATGAGATACTGTTCATCAATGTAAGGAAGACAGAAATGAAGTAAAGTGTGTCTCTGAATGTTTGATGGTTTTCAATTATCTTCATGTTGTGTCAAGTCCTGTGCAGAATGTTGCCACCATCATAACTTGCCTCAAAGAAACTTAGCCTCTTGCCAACTCCCCTAACCTCATACCTTTTCCTTCCACAGGTGTCTCCCCTGAATTGTGCTGGTCTGTCCCTGCCTCTCTTTCCTGGTACCATACCCTCCATCTCTGGTAATCTGGTAATCTTAGTTTAAGCTTCATAGCAAACGGGTCACCCCATAGTTGCTCCACTCCTGTGCCAACAAAAAACTCACAGAATGTTTATCACAGTCCCTTTAGGAGAGATTGACAGACTGCTGTCTCAGCATATGCACTAGCATACACACGCATTTAAAGCATACGATAGCCATCCTAAGTGCTAACACAAACAGTCCGACATTAGAAATGCAGTTCATCATGGATGGTAGCAGAAGTCACCAACAGATCAGCAGTTGCACACTTGATCAATTTTAATCACATAATGGCACCACCAATATTGCGACAACAGGCATCACATCATTTTCTGAATCTACAATTCACACCTCCATCTCTGTTCTTTCCAAGCCATTGCAGCATTTGGTTAAAGTATTTTAATTTCCAGACTAGATTTTCTTTACAAACCAGTTTCCCTTGATATTCATATGTTTTTGAATGTTATTCTATTAATTTTTCTGTGGCATTTCAACTCAAAAGTTTGAGTGTAAATGTAAAATCTACTTTTAGTTCATGCCGTGTTAAGTTGATAATCATGCCTTTCACAGACTCTTTAGTTTGTGAACTGGCATAATTTGCTCTGCATATTATCTTGTAGTTTATTGTGAGGTGCCCATCACCTTTATGGGTGAGTTATAACCTTCAGTTTCATACTCTGCTCAGCACAACTAAAGTGGTGACCACCTCTGGAAACTGTTCTGTCCCATGGGTGTTAGCACAACTAAAGTGGTGACCACCTCTGAAAACTGTTGTGTCCCTTGGGTGTTAGCACAACTAAAGTGGTGACCACCTCTGAAAACTGTTGTGTCCCATGGGTGTCAGGATTGATAGAGTCTGTTTGAGTTCACAAGAAGTCAAGGAGCATGACAGCCCACTCCAGTCAGCAAGTCTACTTCAGTCAGCAGTTCAGTTGATAATTCTTCTTCTTCTTCATCAGGTTCACCAGCTGTAAATTCCAGCAGAAAGTTCTGGTTGTTTGTCCACTTCTGGACTCTAGTCCTGTTCCAGAAACTGAGTGTCACATGCACATCCATTATACAGATCTGACTCATTTGCATGTAGACTGTTGGTTCCTTGCCTCTCAGGCAGATGTACTCCGACTTCGAAGGAAGCTCCAAATTAGTCAACTCTTATCACATACTTTTTGGCAGGCATTGGGTCTATTCTTATTTTCCCCCACAATGGGATTCTGTAACCCTCATGAGGACAATTGATAACAATAATTATGAAATTATTTAACTTAAATAATTAACCAGGTGAAATTTCAAAACAAAAGGCATCAGAAATAACATACAAGAACTTATCTTGGTTAAGAAATAAATCATCCAAAGTTTACCTGTCCCCTTTATATGTATGTACCTTTTTTGTGTGTTCTTTAATCAGGGTCAGAATCTAGCACCTCTGAAGCACTATGATGTGCAGGTCAACATTGGTAAAGAGGAATGTGCGGTTACTTCAGTGCTCAGTACAGTGATCACCTGCATACCCCCACTAGCACAACCAGCTGCTACCATTGGCAGTGGCTTTCCGGAAGTGACTGTAAGTTGTCATTTGATTTTTAAGTATATTTTACAAGTCTTTTGTTTTATTTGTTTTTGTCATTTCACAGGTAAAAAAGTGGTTTTTTTTTAAGTGAACAACCTTTTTTCAGCCTTTAGGCATATAGGGCTAGACCTATATTTTATAGACCAATTGGCACAAGATGGGTGATGTGGTCAGCATCATGCCGGCTGCCTTTACTTTCGGGGACTACACCCAGTACCCACTCAAGGCTGGGTCGAACTGGGAGCCATGGTAATTTTTTTACAAGTCTGGCTCCGCCAAGGGGCAAACCCATCTGGCTCCGCCAAGGAGCAAACCCATGACCTTCTGATTCACAGGTGAGCGTCTAGTCGCTCCTCCGCAGCAACTTCCATTTTACATATACTGAGCAGTTATTGTTCTTCAGAAAAACTGTTGTATGTTATACAATAAGTCAACGTTGATACAGTGTATGTAGAAGTCATTTACCGATGTACGTGCAAATCAGAATCTACTAACTCTGTGCATGCATATAATGGACACGACCTTTCAGTGTTTGTCAGATGTTCAAAATGGATGTAAATGTTCAGCAATGTTTGCAGTTTGATTTCTGCTCTTGCCTTGGATAAACTGTTTCAGAAACTTGGAACTCTGCAGTAAGCTTTCATAGAATCTTGCCTAAGTTTATCAAAGACATTTGAAGCGTTTTCTGTTTCAAAAGTGGTCCCTTATCCTCTAAAGAATATCAGCATCAAGGTAGACAATCCATTCCCTACATGGACCAGAATATTTGCATTACCTGACTTTTGACTATCAGAGGCTGCTCACAGAATTTGTGCTATTTGATCACGGCAATACAACATAACAGCTTAACTGTATGTGCATAGACTATGCATGTGCTTCAAATAAATGCAAATATTTAACTAAGAAATTCACTTTAAGTAAAAATTAAAATATTAACAAAGATGGAAGGGTGAAATGTCAGAAAGTTATAAGCATATGTTTAACTTATAATGTTTAAGTTATGTTTTCTGCAACCAAATGGCTGAATGAATGGTTAAGAACACAAGGTTATCATGTGGGAGACACATATTCAAATCCTCTAGGTTGGAAGCTTTTATTTTTCCTGTCTGGGGCAAAAAAATTAGATTAATCTGCACAGTCCGTGGCGGCATCACTAACCATGCAACCCTTAATCCTCAGGTTCAAAGCCCCCACCCCCCAACCTTCCTTTCCCCTTTGTGAAATATTATGTCTCTATGCACCTGAAGGACAAATGAGACATTTTTGGAAAGCAGCTAACATTTGTGTTGTTTGTGAAAAAAACATGGGTTAGATATGTTGTTATACATGTACATGTCTCTTTTTAATCTCCAGTGTTGTTGTTTTATTTTCAACCATTATAACTCTAAGTCCGACCCACCTTCAGATAAAATGTGTGATGTGGAGGAAACTAAACCACAAACGGTTGTGCAGTGGGACTAGGGCAAGAAGTGTACAAGATCTGTCTATAACTCTCCATGGTCATCCCAGACACAGGTTTCCTACCTGCAGCCTGGCCAACGTAGACAGGATCAATATTTACTTCAAAGTCATAGTGCTTCTGCTTGAGAGGCAGGGAACCAACAGTCTGCACACAAATAAGCCAGATTTATAAAATAGATATGCACACAGCACTTATGTCTAGGAAAAAGGCAGAAGACTAGAAGTGAGAACAACCAAGATGTTTACGGCTGGTGAGCGTTAAGAAGAAGAATTTTAAAAAAAGGTGCCAATTTTATGAACCTTCTGGGAATTGTCTAAGAATGAAAGGGTCATCCCACCTATATGTCTTGAACTAGTATACCGGAAGGGGTACTATACTTTTATTTCACCCCATGGGCTTTGAAATTTTGTAGTGAATTCTTAGGAAGTTACCAGGACAGTCCTATATTTTCTTCTTATTCTTCTTTTCTACTTCTTCTTCTTCTTTTTTTCCCTTTAGTCAACTGAAATAGATTATCTGTATCTACAGTGTTGTCTCTAGTATTAACTTCACTGCCTGTTGTAATTCACTCAGCGACCAGTAAAGTTCAGCTTCAGCTGGTTTTTCTCTAGGCCATAACTTTTTCACTGAGATGGGAATTGAGAATATTTTGCGGTGGGCCCTTCATCTTGGGACGGTGGCAGTGGTGGTGGCAGAGTGCCTTGAAAAGGACTGACAGTCTCCGTCTATGTGTACTGCTGGGTTAGGTTTAGGCTTCGATGCAGCAGTGCTGACAGGTCAAGGAAGTTCATGGCGAAGTCACCAAGTAAGAGCACTGCTTGCAGGTCATGGTAATGGCAACGAATGAACAGAAGCAACACTCACAGCAAATGGTGATGCAATACTGATGAAAATACTTAAAGAAAATCAACACACAATACCGCTAGAATATAGGAGTTTTAGTTTAAGGGTTAGTGATAAATGAACACCAACTAACACCAACCCTAACTCCCTTATAATATAGAACTTCCAGGAAGGTTTTGAGGTTTTGAACAATGGATTAACATCATGGCACACAGGTAATAACCCATAAGTGCTCCATTCTTCTTCCAACTCAAGTCTGAGTCTGAATAAGCTCAGCACAGTGCACAGGCTCTGTAGCATCAGCGAGGATTCTGAAATACTTTAGGTAAAATTTTTACTCCAAAGTTTACTCGAGCAATGCCGTTGGGCTACTCTTGTCAATTTCTAACTGTCAAGGGATTTTTTACGTGTGCAACAATGCAACACGGGCGTCTGATCTCACTACCCAGAGACCAGGAAGAATTACTAGAAGTCCAAGTCTCAGTGAAAAAATCTCAGCCCTTACCAGGGATTGAACCCGGAACCTCTAGCACTCGAGGTGGACACAATGCTTCAAGACCACGCAGCACCCTACTGTCCAGGTTACCCCCTAGAAATCTCACAGCCCCCGAAATGGGATGAAATAAAAGAACTGTACCACTGAAGGCCTACCACCTCACACAACAACAGCAGTATGCCTGGGATTACCTTTGCCCTTTTATTTCAAACATACAAGTAATAAATAATGAATTTATCTTTTTCCTTTTCTAAATTTTTGTTTTTTTCTAAATAGGTAAAAATTGGTCAGAATTTAACTTTCACCCTGGGCATTCTGCGCTATGAGAAACAAGAGGAACTCTCCCAGGGAGGAGTTATAGGAATAGCTGCTGGTGTTTCTGTATTTGTCTTTGTGACCTTGGCTGTCTGCATCTTCTGTCTCATTAAATCTCGGCGGAATGATGACATGATGAAGAAACTGAGAAAAGAGATGGATCAGTTGGAGTCCCGGGTAGCAAATGAGTGCAAAGAAGGTAAGAGTATACACTAATATACTTAAACACAGGGTTCTAAAAGAGCAGTGATGCACAACACAAGACTCTTAATGTCTCTTAGCCTCTATTGTTCAGACCTGACTCATGACATGTCCTGTTTTCCCGAGTAATCCTGTGCATTTTCTGCAAGCTACTGAGTTGAGGGTATGGGTATGGTACAACACTGTGAGCTGTGGATTTCATGTGGAGTACTCATTGTCTGTGCTCCTGGAGATTTGAACTAGCAGCTGCCTTTTTTATTTAATGCATATGCAAGCTCTAGAATTTTGCCAGGACTGCATATTTTGTCTTTTTCAAACAGGACAGTGATAGGCATTTTGTGTGGTTTTTTTCTGGCGTGGAGAAATTATGGTATGACCCATTTGCTGTGAAGTTGGAGTCACAGCTGATAGATAACCTATTTAACAAAATGTTAGTACCTATGTAGATAGCATCCATTCATTCAAAACTGCTTCTATTACACATCAGTGTTTCTGTTACACATGAAATAGAAACACGTCTATACAAAACACAAAACAAATTTTACGGTAGTATGTTGAATGTTGAATTAAGAATCAACATCACAGCACTTGGAACACCCACATAAGCGCTCCATCCCCATCTTCAGCAGCAAAGTTTAAATTCCGATGGTACCAGTAACTGTCTGATTGTATATCGGTTTCACCTTTCCCCTGAGTGTCGAGTGATGACTTTTACAGTAGTAAGAATTATGTAAATGTCTCAATAAAAGAATTGTGAAGTAAGAGGAAGTCTTCAGATTTTATCATTTTCAGAATAAGTATAAAATTAGTTTTAAACTTTCAGAAACATTAAACTAAATACCTCAACTTCTTTGAAAATGTAAAACTGCTTGCTTTACGAGGTAAAACAATTTATTGAACGTCAAATGAAAAAAAATTTAAATGAAACTAAATGCATGTATACACAAATCTCTGTCGAATCACAGGATATAAAATACAATTAATTGTTCTTCCTAGTAATTTGTCCCTTATTGTCTTGTGTTAATTATCATACTACCCTCTACGGGAGGGAAGGAGTCAGAGGAGTGCTGAACAGTCTTAGGAGTAGAAACCAGAGCGCTTACCCTAAAGAATATCAAAAACTGCTGTGAAGGCACAGGACGTGACGATCTAGTTGCCTCCACTACTCATGCTTAGAGCCATGGAGAAAGCGAAACCAGCAAGCAACCTGGTGGCAGGAAATGAGCACACTGTGAGCCCAACCTTAGCTAAGTGTCCAAGAGGAAAGCAGAAATACAACCCAAATTTTCTTTAGATAGCCACAGTCATCCTAGAGATAGGCTTGACATCTTCCCTTGAAGTCAGAGTACATCTGCCGGAGAGGCAGGGAACGAGAACTGCAAACAAATAAGCCAGTAAAACAAACGTACACACAAAACTCAGGTCCAGGTAAAAGCAGAAAGTCCAAGTAGACGAACTACCTGAGCATTACGCCGGAATTCACAGCCGGTGAACGAGAAGAAGAAGAAGAAGAAGATTTTCTTTAGAACTGGTACAGTGCACTTCTGACTGCTATCCAGGTAGGTAGGCAATCCACAGACACCCTAAGCACCACAGTGCCATTTTTTTTTCAGTAGCTGCTTTCTGCCACAAGGTATCGCAGTTAAACATGAAAAATAGGGGAGCCAGGGTGCGCTCAGTTTGCTTGTTATGCCGTGATGTTGTAAAGTCTTCAGCTCTTGGTGACTGCTTCGATCTATCTTCTCCTAGGCCTTGCTCGGCCAAGCAGGTTTTCCATGTTCATGTTGTATTTTCTCACTGCCAGCATCATTTGGTTCATTCTTACTAGCATTCATTCGGTCTTTGTTTCTCAGTGAATTTTGTTCCAGTAGAAGTATTTTATACTGATTTTTACTCAACTTTGCTACAACTGGTTTCAGCATTTGCAGAGTTGCAGACTGATATGAATGAGCTAACCAGTGACATTTCTGGTGGCTGCTCCATCCCATTTTGGGACTATCGCACCTACTGCATGAGAGTGATGTTCCCGCCAGAATGCAGTGACCATCCAGTGATTAGAGAGCTAGAGGTATGAGGCCAAGCTGACTTTCTAACAAATATTTGTATTTTTTCAGTGATTAGAGAGCTAGAGGTATGAGGCCAAGCTGACATTCTAACAAATATTTGTATTTTTTCACTGATTATTTTTGGCTGCCATAAATTTATCTTCACAGACTTTGGATATGGCTAATGAAAGAAGAGAAGATTATACCTGTGACAGAGAATTTAATTGTGAACCAGAATACAATTTATGACAATTTAGGTAGTTACTATATCTGTCAAGGCATTGTTCTGGATGCAGACCCCAGAAGTGGCAGCACCCCCACCCTTTTCCCGAAATCTGACTCAGGGGTCACCCAGCATCACTTAAAAAAAATGTTTCTATGGTACTAGAGAACTTTGTAATTTCCTGGGAATTGCTGGGAAGGAGAAATGATGGGCAAAGAAACTACCAAGCCTGCTTCATATGTCATAGCCTAGTATATCTGAAGGAAGCAGATGTGGCTTAGTGGCTAAAGACTTGCCTGCAGATATGAAGGTTATGGGATTAAATCCCAGTGGAACCTAACTTTTTTTTTTTCTAAATGACCTTGGCTTAAATATAAACCAGGTAAAGTCCTGGGAAATAAAGGCAGTCTGCGTGATTTTGACCACATCACCCACCAAGTGCAGATTGGTCTGTAACATAATAGGTCTAGCCCTATATGCCCAATATACCTAAAGGCATGGACAAGTTTTAACCCTTTACATTCCAAAGGCAGTACTTGCTATTCATCTATCTTTTAACCAGAAGGAATACAAGACAGCCAACACCCCCCCCCCCCCCTTTTCCTCCCCAAAAGAAAATTAATTAACAAACACTTGAAGAAATGAAAATCTTAACTTTTCTTTTTCATCTGCTATTTAACCTCAGTTTTAAGTTCCCTTATCCATTTGTTTTAGCCTGGTTTTTTTTCTATGCCCCTGTGAGTTCCAGAGTACGGAGATTCTAGTTATATTGTCTTCAGATTTTTTCCAGCATGTGCCCTATGCAACTGCAGCATATTTTCTTCACCACTTGATTCACTGGAATGTGTTTAGTTTCTTACCCAATGCTCCTCATTTTCTTTTAAACTATTTAATTTCCTCTGTGCAGGCAGCAGTTTAGTAACGTTTGTAGTTCATTAGGAATTGTTTTAGTCATTCTCTATGTTTCAGCTCCATACAGCAGTACTGATTTGACACTAGAACTAATATTGAAAGTTGACTACTAGTAAAGAAGAGGAGAAATACTGACATCTTAAAAGATCTGAACATCAAGGAAGATTGGCTAATAAACAGCATCTTGTCTTGGAAGCTGAAATGTTTTGGTCATATCAAGCGCCACGACGGATTGGGAAAAATTATAGCAGAAGGCATGGTACCAGGAAGGAGGGGCAGAGGCCGACCGACACGAAGATGGGCACAGGATATAAGTGACTCCTTGAGTGTGAAAGTTCATGAGGCGGGAGAACTGGCAAGAGACCAAGTTTCTTACAGGCAGACTGTGATGAGAGCGACGTTCTGCAAAGGACCTGCTTCATGATGATGAGTTCAGAGTTCACAACTCTGGTTTTATAATGTGTCTGTATATACACAAAGACAATCATTGTTTTCTTTTTTTTTTAAATATTCAGTGCAACAACATTTAAGTGTGTCTACTTTGTATTTACAGCTAGACTATCATCTGAGGGAGGATACAGAGCGAGGATTGAAATTGTTTTTTAACCTCATAAGAAACAAAACTTTCCTGCTCATTTTTATACGAACGCTGGAGGCAAACAAAGACTTCAGCATGAAGGAAAGAGTCAATGTTGCCTCTCTGATTTCAGTCTGTCTACAAACTCAAATGGAGTATGCCACAGAGTAAGCATTCTTTCATTTTGTGTGTGTATGAACACATCTTTGTTGTGTAGATGTCAATTTTGTTGGCTCAAAAGCAAAACTAATTTCACATTTGCTCTTCTAGTGTTTTGTATGTTTTTTTCTGATCTTCCTTTATGTAATATAATAATATCTTGAAGTCTGTAAAATATATTTGACTCATTACATATAGTCTATAATCTTATCATTTGAGATAATCAGCACATAATGTGTGCAGTATTAAATAACCTACAGTAAATGACAAACATAATTATCCAGTACTGGAAAAGATCAAAACTGTATCCCAAATTTAACCCAGAAGGGTTGAACATGATATATCACTGATCAGATTACTGGTCCTACCATCATGGAATATTCTTATGTTGAATGTCAGAAAGCAAATAAAACCAGTGGCTGAACTCTAATTAATAAACATAACAGATTTAAATATTATATTTATATGTAATAGAAATCCTGGAAATAGTGGATGATTTTTTAGTGTTATAAAAGTGTGTCTTTAAAATGTATATTATGAACTTCCTCCTTATTTGGTAACAATGTTCCACATTTCTTTTTTTTTTTTTTGGGTAATGCATGTCATTAGTGGCAACTAAAACATCATAAAAGATGACTAAAAATAGTTTGTGTCGGACTGACTACCTCATCTCACTGAGCCCCGGTGTATACAACCAGAAACAGTTCTGATATTTTATCTGATCACAGATTATGTGCCCCCTTGAAAAATAACAGTATTTTTAGAAATAGCATATATGTGTCCCATAAATATTTTATAGTTAACGTGTTTTACTGTGGTTAGAAATGTAAGTTAGAAATGTAGGTGGAATTCAAGCACATGTGAATGTTTGTGTTTATATTTAGCTGCTAATGGTAATGTTTACTAATAATTGTCAACATAGGGTGACTGTGTGTCCTGTTTTCACCAGGACAGCCTTTTTTCCCCCAGTTGTGATGCTAGCACTCCCCCCCCCCCCCCCCCTCCCCCCAACACAAAAAATGTGTTAATTGTCCGGTTTTGTAAAATACTACACATAAATGCGCACATATACACCACCACCTACATACATTCATGAATACACACACATTCATACACACAACACACTCACACATTCATAATAACACATTCTCTTAAATTCACACACACTCACACTCATACATACTCATAAGTACACTCACTCTGATACATATGCATAAATACATACGCATAAATAAACCAGCAATCATACTTACACAGTTACACATATACAAACATACATTTATCTGAGAGGCTGGAGGATCGGTACCAGCAGCATAGTTTGACTTGCTATCACATTTTTGTGCCACTGCTTTTTACCACATGTTGCTCCTAACCAAGATTGTTATATGTATAACAACTTAACCAAGATTGTTATATGTATAACAACTTAACCAAGATTGTTATATGTATAAACTCTCTTTGTATTTCTCCAGAATTTTAAAAACACTGCTGGCAGAACTCATAGAGAAAACAATAGAAAATCCAAAAGTGAATCCAAAGATTTTATTACGAAGGTATGTAGCTTTTGTTTGACATATTTTTTATCATGACTCTGATTTGATTTGATTTGATTTGATTTGATTCAAGAACCGACATCACAGCAGTCGAGGCATTCCTATAAGCACTCCGTCCCCATCTTCAGCAGTCAGCGAAGAGTTCTGATACTAATGGTGCCAGTAGCATTCTGATTAAACGTCCGTCTTGCCTTTCATCTGAGCCTCGAGCATCTGCCAAAACCTCTCGTCACCCCCAACTGCATCAATCTCACCAGACTGGTGATCCATCTGCTCCTCCGAACTGTACACGCTCTCCCACAAGGCACTAACCATGTCTGCCTTATCATGTATCAGTATTCCACCAAGTTGTGCAGAGCCAGCCAATCTATCCGCCTGTTCATTTCCCAACAATAACTTTGATTAGTGTTTGTCAACTTCTTCTTCACTTCCTTTTTCACCTCTTTGGGTATCAAGGTTCTGCCTCTTGGTTTTCTGGACACTTTGATCATTGACATAGTTGAGTTGAGTTAAGAATTGACATCACAGCACTTGGGGCATTTCCATGTGTGCTCTGTCCTTATCTTCAGCAGCCAGTGCTGAGTTCCAATAGTGATGGTACCGGTCACAATCTGGTTATATGTCCATCTTGCCTTTCCTCTGAGTGTAGTGAGCCGGCCAGACCCTCAGGTTACACCCAGGTGTCTCATTCTCTCCAGGCCCTAATAATCTTGTTTCTCCATAGACAAATTGTGCTATATTTGTAATTACTAGATTATGGATTTTAAGACAGAAGGTCTTTTTTGTGTTATGGTACACAAGGGAAAGATAGCAAAAGTATGTGGCCCAGAAGACAAGCCATTTAGGATCTACTGACTAAAAGCAATGACTTTGAAACTTCATTTGATTTGATTTGATTTGATTTGAAAACCGACATCACACCACTCGGGGCATTTCCATAAGTGCTCCGTCCCTATCTTCAGCAGCCAGCGAAGAGTTCCGATACTAATGGTGCCAGTAGACTTTGAAACTGAAAGAATTCTTTATTAAACATCTTATTACCACCTCATATATTCAAGGCCACACTCGCTGCGGATCGAAAGGTTGTGGGTTCGCTCACTGGAGGAGCCGGACTTTTTTCAAAAATGACCTTGGCTCCCAGCTCGACCCAGCTTTGAGTGGGTACCGGGTGCAGTCCCGGGAAGTAGAGGCAGCCGGCATAATGCTGACCACTTCACCCATCTTGTGCCGATTGGTCTATGAAAATATAAGCCTGGCCCTATATGCCCTATACGCCTAAAGGCGTGGAAAAGGGTCCTTTACTTTACTACTTTTACTTTTATATTCAGGGCCGTGAGACATGAGGTGGGGTGGCCCAGACAATTCTCAGAAATGTTCCGGTAGCCATTTTATGAGGCTGGACTGGAGATTGAAGCCATCTTGGCAGGCAAGCACATCAACCACTGTATCATCACAGCTCTTTGGTAGCTTGAAGTTCGGAAACAATATAGAAAACCCTTGTCATGTCTTTAACACAGGTTTCTAGTGCTATACCCATATTTATATAGACTAATGGGCACTTGATGGGTGATGTGGTTAGCACTTGATGGGTGATGTGGTCAGCACTTGATGTGTGATGTTGTCAGTACTTGATGGGTGATGTGGTTAGCACTTGATGGGTGATGTGGTCAGCACTTGATGGGTGATGTGATGTGGTCAGTACTTGATGGGTGATGTGGTCAACACTTGATGTGTGATGTTGTCAGCACTTGATGTGTGATGTTGTCAGCACTTGATGGGTGATGTTGTCAGCACTTGATGGGTGATGTGGTCAGTACTTGATGGGTGATGTGGTCAGTACTTGATGGGTGATGTGGTTAGTACTTGATGGGTGATGTGGTCAACACTTGATGGGTGATGTGGCCAGTACTTGATGGGTGATGTGGTCAGTACTTGATGGGTGATGTGGTCAGTACTTGATGGGTGATGTGGTCAGCACTTGATGGGTGATGTGGTCAGTACTTGATGGGTGATGTGGTCAGTACTTGATGGGTGATGTGGTCAGTACTTGATGGGTGATGTGGTTAGCATCTTTATGGGTGATGTGGTCAGTACTTGATGGGCGGTGTGGTCAGTACTTGATGGGTGATGTGGTTAGTCACTTGATGGGTGATGTGGTTAGCATCTTGATGGGTGATGTGGTCAACACTTGATGGGTGATGTGGTTAGTACTTGATGGGTGATGTGGCCCAGTACTTGATGGGTGATGTGGTTAGTACTTGATGGGTGATGTGGTCAGTACTTGATGGGTCAGTACTTGATGATGTGGTCAGTACTTGATGGGTGATGTGATGTCAGCACTTGATGGGTGTGATGTTGTCAGCACTTGATGGGATGTGTGTCAGCACTTGATGGTGATGATGTCAGCACTTGATGGGTGATGTGGTCAGTACTTGATGGGTGATGTGGTCAGTACTTGATGGGTGATGTGGTTAGTACTTGATGGGTGATGTGGTCAACACTTGATGGGTGATGTGGCCAGTACTTGATGGGTGATGTGGTCAGTACTTGATGGGTGATGTGGTCAGTACTTGATGGGTGATGTGGTCAGCACTTGATGGGTGATGTGGTCAGTACTTGATGGGTGATGTGGTCAGTACTTGATGGGTGATGTGGTCAGTACTTGATGGGTGATGTGGTTAGCATCTTTATGGGTGATGTGGTCAGTACTTGATGGGCGGTGTGGTCAGTACTTGATGGGTGATGTGGTTAGTACTTGATGGGTGATGTGGTTAGCATCTTGATGGGTGATGTGGTCAACACTTGATGGGTGATGTGGTTAGTACTTGATGGGTGATGTGGCCAGTACTTGATGGGTGATGTGGTTAGTACTTGATGGGTGATGTGGTCAGTACTTGATGGGTGATGTGGTCAGTACTTGATGGGTGATGTGGTCAGTACTTGATGGGTGATGTGGTCAACACTTGATGGGTGATGTGGTCAACATTTGATGGGTGATGTGGTCAACACTTGATGGGTGATGTGGTCAACACTTGATGGGTGATGTGGTTAGTACTTGATGGGTTATGTGGTTAGTACTTGATGGGTGATGTGGTCAACACTTGATGGGTTATGTGGTTAGTACTTGATGGGTGATGTGGTCAACACTTGATGGGTTATGTGGTTAGTACTTGATGGGTGATGTGGTCAACACTTGATGGGTTATGTGGTTAGTACTTGATGGGTGATGTGGTCAGTACTTGATGGGTGATGTGGTCAGTACTTGATGGGTGATGTGGTCAACACTTGATGGGTGATGTGGTCAGTACTTGATGGGTGATGTGGTCAACACTTGATGGGTGATGTGGTCAGTACTTGATGGGTGATGTGGCCAGTTACTCGATGGGTGATGTGGTCAGCACTTGATGGGTGATGTGGTTAGTACTTGATGGGTGATGTGGTCAGTACTTGATGGGTGATGTGGTTAGCACTTGATGGGTGATGTGGTCAACACTTGATGGGTGATGTGGTCAGTACTTGATGGGTGATGTGGTCAGTACTTGATGGGTGATGTGGTTAGTACTTGATGGGTGATGTGGTCAGCACTTGATGGGTGATGTGGTCAGCACTTGATGGGTGATGTGGTCAGCACTTGATGGGTGATGTGGTCAGCACTTGATGGGTGATGTGGTCAACACTTGATGGGTGATGTGGTCAGTACTTGATGGGTGATGTGGTCAACACTTGATGGGTGATGTGGTCAGTACTTGATGGGTGATGTGGTCAGTACTTGATGGGTGATGTGGTCAGTACTTGATGGGTGATGTGGTTAGTACTTGATGGGTGATGTGGTTAGTACTTGATGGGTGATGTGGTCAGTACTTGATGGGTGATGTGGTCAACACTTGATGGGTGATGTGGTCAGTACTTGATGGGTGATGTGGTTAGTACTTGATGGGTGATGTGGTCAACACTTGATGGGTGATGTGGTCAACACTTGATGGGTGATGTGGTCAACACTTGATGGGTGATGTGGTCAACACTTGATGGGTGATGTGGTCAACACTTGATGGGTTATGTGGTTAGTACTTGATGGGTGATGTGATTAGTACTTGATGGGTGATGTGGTCAGTACTTGATAGGTGATGTGGTCAGCACTTGATGGGTGATGTGGTTAGCATCACACTGGATGTCTTTACTTTCCAAGACTTGTTAGGCTGGGTCATCAACCTAGGAACTAAAGTGACTTTTAACTCCCTCAGGCCCATGAATTTTGACAGACCTGGCCCACATTAATTTCCCTTTACAAAAATGGCAGAGGGGTGGGTGTACAAGAAAAAGAAAGGCAATAGAGAATGTAATATACTTCTAATCCCAATAGAAGTATATTTAAAAAAAAAAAAGAAATGAATGTACATTTTGAATCTGATAATAAGTATATGTTTAATTTGTTTATAGTTAGTAGGAAAGAAGAATTCAGCCAGTGTTAATTTCACAACAACAACATTTTACAAACAAATTCTTCACTTACCATGATATTGCAGCCAAAAGAGTTATCCAAATTTGAGACCTGTACTTGTGGTTGGAACATTGGTTTTCATGGCAATCGAAAACGAACTTAGAAAATTCACTGTTTAAAAAACTGTCGCTGTAAATCAGGTAAAATTATGCACATGTGGCTTCATATAGGGAATGGAACTGAAAGTATTTCAGGAGAGTGACTTTCCCTGAATAGTTTAATCATACTTCTGAACATTAGAAACAAGTACGGAGCCATGTGCGAAGCAAAATGTACGGGACACACGATCGATGATGACAGCGTTGCTTAGGAAAAATTAAACTTCTCAATCAACGCTCACACTGTTGCTCGGGCCTTGGGGGCAGAAAAAAAAAAGGGGGGGGGGCAGCAAATTCAATATTTTGTAACTACACACCTTGAAAACAATTATACATAGACGGAAGATTGCTAGACTGTGAACTAGATAATAATTAAGATGTTAATTCACTGTTGTTGCATTCAGATCAGTTATTATATCCTCATCAAAGGTTAATTTCACCTATTCACCTCCATTTTATATATATATATACTAGGGCTGTACCGAATAGTGATTTTCACTATTCGGCCGAATACGAATAACGGGACCAACTATTTGGCCGAAAACGAATACGATTAATGTATGAAATATATCTAACACAAAAACACACACACACACACACACACACACACACACACACATTCATAATGTCAAATGTACGCTTAACTTTTTCTTTACATAAAGTAGCACAGAATAGTCATCTTCTTCTTTAGCATTCTGAGCCCTTGAGGTTTACTGTTGCAGATATCACTCGTCACCATTCATCTTTCTGGCTGACCTTATCTTCACAATTTGTGACACCAGTTGTTTGCAGGTCTGGCTGGACATTATCTCTCAAACCTATTTTTTGTCTGCCTCGTGGTCTATGCCCATTCCTCTCTCAGGTGTATACAGTTTTACTTTTCTGTCTTCTGACATTCTTTTAATATGCCCCAACCATTTTATTCTGTTAGCTCTCATAAACAGATTATGTGTTACGTTGTTGCTTCTCACTCTCCATTCCCCACTGTTAGCATCTTTGATGGGTCCAAAGATTTGACGTGAGACTGTTTTTGAAAACCTGTAATAAAGCCTCATCTTTTTTATTTCTGCTTCAGGTTTCAGAGCCATATAAAACGACTGATCTTATCGACGTTTTATATATTTTGATCTTGGTGTTGCGAGCAGACACTTTGACTTTAGCAGATGTTGAAGGGCATAGTATACTTTATTTCTAAAAGTAAAAAGTAAAGATCCCTTTCCACGCCTTTAGGTGTATCGGGCATATGGGAAGAGCGCCCATGTTTTTACAGACCATCAGCACTCGATGGGTAATGTGGTCAGCATTATGCCGGCTGTCTTTACTTTCCCATGACAGCCCATCCTGGTACCCATTTTAGGCTGGGTTGACCTGCGATGCCCCGTACCATGATAAAAATCCACGCAGCCAGCAGTGGGTTTCGATCCCGGTACGCTGGATTACGAGTCGGACTCGCAACGCCTAAGTCACGGATGCCGCACTTTATTTCTAGATTGTATTTCTTCTCTCAGCATGTTGGAGCTTTTGCAGTTAGCACCCAAGTACTTATATGTTTCTGTTTGTTTGATTTTCATATTATCGACTTGCATGTGGCCGGAGTTTATATTCGTTCCATGTCTAGTTAGAATTCGTACAGAATAGTAAACATTAAAAAACATTTGATGTTTTGCATCCTTCAGTCAGTCTGTGGTAACTAATAATTAGGAATGAAAGAATCCTAAGTAATATAACAAGTAACTAAACTTGGAAATTGTCACTGACAGCTTAGTTAATGCATGAAAGCTGCTTTAGCTTTCAATAAAACCAACCGTTCCGTGTTGTCATTAAGGCCGTGTATGCAGAAGCAGGTGTAAGGTAACTACTATTCGTATTTGGTCCGACCACAACTATTCGGCCGAATACCATATAGTCTAAAGGTCCACTATTTGGCACTGAAGAGAATACGAAGTGAATATTCGGTACAGCCCTAATATATATACACACACACACTCACATATTAGTACCACATCAGACAAAAAAACTGTGGGTTTTAAGAATCTGTTTATCTTTTTTCTTCAGAAACGAATCTGTTGCTGAGAAAATGTTAACAAATTGGTTTACATTCCTACTGTATAAATTTTTGAAGGTAAGAATTTGTTTCTTTCAATAATTTTTATAATGTGTACGTGTGAAAAATTATCTTAAGCATTTGATTGGCTGTGAGCATTTGATTGGCTGTGAGCATTTGATTGGCTGTGAGCATTTGATTGGCTGTGAGCATTTGATTGGCTGTGAGTATTTGATTGGCTGTGAGTATTTGATTGGCTGTGAGCATTTGATTGGCTGTGAGCATTTGATTGGCTGTGAGCATTTGATTGGCTGTGGGCATTTGATTGGCTGTGAGCATTTGATTGGCTGTGAGTATTTGATTGGCTGTGAGCATTTGATTGGCTGTGGGCCAGTTGCCTATCTTTTTTTTTTTTAAAGATTGTAAGCAAATTATGAGTTATCTAATTAAATTCTGTCCATGATTTTTTTTTTTTATAAATACATGAAAAGTACTTTGGAAGGTTTAGCAGAATTAGATAAAACAGTTCTTTGGTAGTAAGCATGCAGTGCACATGGGATCATTGTAAGATGTCACTATAGGTATTCAGACAGCTTTGGGATAGTGTGACCATATCGTCTGGACAGAATCGTTTTTTTTTAGGTCGTCCCGTTAATACTGAACAACAACAAAAACAAAAATTTCCATTGTTCCAATTGATGTGGAGCATCGATGGAATACTCTGGGCCTACCTTAAAAAATATACCATCCTGGTGAAAACGGGACTTGTGGTCACCCTACTTTGTTAGCAACATGTTAGCTCATCTGTCCACACCTTCTATTATGAGTTTTGAATGTTGTGATATGTGTACCCATAATCTCTAGTTGCTCTGTTCCTGATTTCATTATATTTTTGCCAAGTTATGAAATTTTAATAATTTCAAGAATTTATCACACTGCCTTTAGGTGTACAAGCTGAGGCAAACAGTTGGTAGAATTGTTCCAACTACTAAATTTTTTTAATTAGAGGTTTTTATAATGAATTGGGTATTAAAAACTAAAGAAACTGATTCAACTGGGAATGAGCTTATGGTCTGGATGGTTTTCAACATTCAAGGGAAAGGAAAAGGCAGACTTTTAACCAAGTTACTACAGGCACCATCAGTACAGGAACTTTCTGGTATTAAAAACTAAAGAAACTGATTCAACTGGGAATGAGCTTATGGTCTGGATGGTTTTCAACATTCAGGGGAAAAGACAGGCAGACTTTTAACCAAGTTACAACAGGCACCATCAGTACAGGAACTTTCTGGTTGGCTACTGAAGAAGGGGACAGAATATTTGTGGAAATGTCCCAGGTACTTTATCAGCAGATAGCAAATTAAATGATTATTCCTTGTAACAAGATTGGCAACAGAGAGGGCACCACAGAGAGCAAAGTTGTATAGATACAAGAGTAATGGAGCTAGAGGTTGACCATCCAGAAGAGGGGCCATGGAAATATCAGAGATACTGAAGAGTACTATAGGCAAAGTGAACGGAAGGGTCCATTCCTGAAATCTCTTTCTTCCTTGCCACTGGAGTAGAGAGAAGAAGAAGATGTCCCTAGTTTAGAGACTGCAATTCTTAATTGACTCAATAATTTTTCTTTATTCAGAAGTTTTACTCTACCATACAAGTAGCCTCTCATATTTAAGAGTCAGTCATTTTCACAAAGACTGCACAAAAGTTAATTATAATTTCAAGCGTAAGATTGTTGACCTATGTGACATTTGAGATTAAAATACAGAAGAAAAAACTAACATCATGACTATAAAAAACCATTTAAAAAAAAATATATATATAGCTTTCACCTTACAGTAATATAAGTTTGCTTTTTTTATTGCATATCATCATCATCAGGTGCCTTGCCGACTGGCGTGGGCGATCATGCCTCTCCATAATCTACGATCTCTTGCAGCATGTATCAGTTTGTGTGCCAACACTCCTCCATGCCATGCAACAAGACTGTCAAGCATCTTCTCCTGTTGTCTTCCTCTATCCCTCCTTCCACAGATCTTTCCAGTGGTCATAATATGTTCTATTTTCTCTCTTCTCATAACATGGCTGAAAAATAATGACTGTCTCCTTCTGGTGTCTGTGATAAGTTGTCTTAAGCAAAACTTATATTGCATATATGAAATGTAAAGTATATGTTTGTATGCAGTAAGTGAACACGTATGAATGAGATGTATGTATTTGTTGCAGGAATGTGCAGGAGAGCCTCTGTTTATGCTGTATGGTGCTATCAAACAGCAAGTCTCTAAGGGCCCGGTGGATGCAGTGACAAGTGAAGCCCGCTACTCTCTGAGTGAAGACAAACTCATTAGGCAGCATGTTAACTATAAAGCTTTGGTATGTTTCAGTTAGATGGTTTGTCATCTTTGTGTATGAATCACTCACTATATATCATAAAATATTGAGGAACTGTATCGGTTTAATTCTTTCAGTTTGACTTAGTGTTTATCAACAACTGATAAAATGAAAACGCAGGGCTAGATGACACAATAGTGTACAAGAGTGGTTTTGATCATCAGGGTAAAAAGTCTGATCTTGCTGGGGCTTTTCAGCTAGAGTGAAGAGAAATATGGTGGCAGAACAAAATGGTGCCTTATTTTTTTAAATCTACAACTTCAAGCATAGGGATGGAGGTGGAGGCAGTCACTGCAGCTCTGTAGTAGATAGCAAAACATTATATTGTCTGTAGAAGGTTCAAAATGGACAAATGTGGCATCAGTGAATATCAAGCATCAGCATCTCAACAATACAAGGACTTATGAGGATATACTTTGCTATGCAGGAGTGCAAGGGAATGAAAGAGTAAATTTGTTTCGGGTGCAAAAGTGATAGCTCCAGAAACACTTGTACTGAACAAAGGAGACATTCTGAGGACCATTTATGAACGAATGCTTGTAGAAGACCTAAGGTTAGATGAAATAACAAAAGTAAGAATGTGTGAACATGGAGTGGATCCAGCTGAAGTGACATATGAGAACAAAAGAGCAATGTGTGTATAATCATGTGCTGTGTAAACAGTATCTACACCTTGAGACATTTGCTGTGGGAGATGGTGTGCCTAATGTGCCATGATGTTGATTTTACAATCAGTAAATCTGTGTTTGGATTTGAGTTTAAAAGCACTTAATAATTTGGTCTGAAGGAGTTGAACAGACTCCAATGAACAAAAGTGTTTGAAACCAAAAATGAAAAAAAAAGTTTTAAAAAAAAACAAAAAATACCAGTTCAGAACCCTTTCCATACCTTCAGGCATATAGGGCTAGACCTATATTTTATAGACTAATCGGCACTTAGTGAATGATGTATTCAACATCATGCCGGCTGCCTTTACTTCCCAGGACTGCACTTGGTACCCACTCAAGGTTGGGTTGACCTGAGAGCCAAGGTCATTTTTGAAGAAAGCCTGGAGCTGTTCATCTGGCAAATAATGTTAGACTTATATCTTTATAGACCAAATGACCCTCAATGGGTGATGTGATTAGCATCAGGCTGGCTGCTTTTACTTCTCAGGACTTTACTTGGTACCCTTTGAATGCTGGGTCAACCTGGGTGTCAAAATTCTGGCTGAAAATAAAATTGTCGCAATATGAATCCTCGACCTTCAGATCTGTAGATGAGCACCTAGCGGCTACACCACTGTAGCTCTCCATGCTAACATTATACTCTTCATCAACTCTCATCACCATCATGTGTCATGCTGATAAATGAAAACTGTCAGGGTTCACTGTCTCACATGATCATCAAAGTCTTAGATCAGGTTTCTGTTCTTGTCCGACTCATTTGTGCAAGATCTAGTCATCTGGGTATTTATCTCTTTATCTTCTTCTTACTCTGGTCCCATCACATTTTCCAGTTGTCACTAAGTTTTCCAGTTGATTTCTCATAACATGCCGGAAACATTGTCTGCAGGTGTTGAATGTGATGGATGTTGATGTGGACAGGTGCTCCCAGCCTGCTCATCCTGTCAAAGTGCTGGACTGTGACACAATCTCTCAGGTCAAAGAGAAAATCTTGGATGCTCTTTATAGATCAGCTCCCTTCAGTAGCCGACCTCCCAAAGAAGAATTAGATCTTGGTAAGTGTCGAAACATGCCAGTTAGCCTTTTCTCAGCATCCCAAATTTTTCTTTTTTTCTTTCTTTCTTTCTTTCTTTCTTTCTTTCTTTCTTTCTTTCTTTCTTTCTTTCTTTCTTTCTTTCTTTCTTTCTTTCTTTCTTTCTTTCTTTCTTTCTTTCTTTCTTTCTTTCTTTCTTTCTTTCTTTCTTTCTTTCTTTCTTTCTTTCTTTCTTTCTTTCTTTCTTTCTTTCTTTCTTTCTTTCTTTCTTTCTTTCTTTCTTTCTTTCTTTCTTTCTTTCTTTCTTTCTTTCTTTCTTTCTGTTGTTCTACGGCCTGTGCTGTGAAGCAGTGCAGAGAGAAGGTACATGTAGTTTTTCTGGCTGTCGCAGGATGTTTAGCTTTAACTAATTTCATGTTGTGTTTTATTTAAACTTTGAGAAACTTACGGGGTTTAGCATCAGAGACCCAAGAGGAAGTAAAGAGAGACGTAAAATCAGAGCCTCATGTGTTCTTTGGGCTTCTAGATAGAAACTTATGAACATATGATCCATTCCTTGAAACTGAAAGAGTTAATGTTAGCTGGGTCAGTATTTTTATAGGAAATTTCTCCACTGAACAAAGAATAATCTTTCTTTTACAAATGATTTTCTTATCAAATCTCCTCTTAAAATTACAGTAGTCTCATGGCATTTTACAATTACCAGAAATTGATTTATGAAAGGCTTGGGAACTTAAACACATTATCAGCCTTATGGTTTGTGTGTCACTTTTGTTTGATGCCATTAATCCTGATAAGAATTAGACCTAAGTATGGAAAGCTTGTGTAGATTTGTAATGACCATGAGGCAGACTTAACTCTTTGAGTCCCAAGGAACGCATGATACGTTCATAGGTTCCTACCTAGAAGCCCAATGAACGCATGATGCGCCGATTTTATTACTTTTTTACTACCCCCTGGGCCTGTGATGCTAAACCCTCTGGGACTCAAAGATTTAAAATGTGGAGAGATAAAATACATGATGATAAAGGTAGATTGTATTCTAATTCGGGACAAAAATAGACTGAATTATGAAATATTTTAATGTGGCCTGCCAAATACTGTTAATACAATTAATTTATAAACATTTATAACTGCTAGTACTATTTTTATACTTGATGTCACAGGAGACCGTTCAGTTAGCATTATAATTATTTTGTGAACTGTGAAATATTTTAATGTGACATGTTGAATCCTGTTTTGTAATTGATTTATAAACAGTTGTAACTGCTAGTACTATTTTCATATTTGCTATCACAGGATACAGTTCATTACATATAGGTGGCTCACCCCACCCCGTGTGGACTTCAGGTTACACTGTAGCCATCAGGACCTCAGTATAATGCCAGGGTTTCTGGGATTAGTCCTGGGGGGATTCTCATCCGAGTAATGACACATTGCAGGTTACATCCCCAGGTGTTTATTTCTCAGTGTGCGGTCTTAGTGGGGCACAGTTTTACTCACTGAGAACTCCAGCTAAATTTACAATTATATTGTTATTGATCGTTGTAGTGGCCCATGTGTTTCTAGAGTCTTTAGGGAAAAACGACCAACAGAATGTCTGCAAACTCCCTATTGTACCAGTTAATAGAGGCAACCAAGACGAGTTGGCTACCCCATCCATTAAAAAGATTACATTGCAAAAGCCAGTCATTTAAGAACATTACCCCCGTGTGGGTTCCGGGGCCTCATTGTGGGGAAAACAAGAATAGACCCACTGCCTCCCCAAAAAGCATGTCGTAAGAGTCGACTAATTGGGGAGCTTCCTTTGAAGTCGGAGTGCATCTGCCGGAGAGGCAAGGAACCAACAGTCTGTATTCAAGAGAATGAGATCTGTAAAACTGATGCACACGCAACACTCAGGTTCTGGAGCAGGACTACAGTTCAGTAGTGGACGAGCAACCAGAACTTTCAACCAGAGTGTACAGCTGGTGAACGCGAAGAAGAAGAAGAACATTTCTATAAAGCTTAATAAGAGCTGGTAGCCGGCTGATTGCCCTCGTGGGGTAAGTGACAGCAGATCTCAGTTACTGACATCTGTAGATAAATCTGCATTGTTTACATAACGAGGTGAAGTTGTGATAAACTATATCAATCTCATGTGTGTTTTTTTTTTCATCATCCCCTTTACCCCCATTCTTTTCGGAAACAGTGTTGTTTGATCATCCATCAGAGTGGATAGCAGGGGATAGGTCGCATGTTCCACTGAAAATCTTTCCTAATAGAGATACAAAACACTTGGTGCTTAGTGACGATGATCACACAACAAAATCTGAGGGAGATTGCAAGCCCCTCAACACACTCAGCCATTACAAGGTAAATCATTGTTCTTTCTCGTATTTTCTTTGACTGCTGTTAATGTTTTGTGTGTCAGATATTTGTTTCTCTTCTCATTTCGTTCCTCTAGTAATCTGCAGTAATGAAATGAAGTATAAACAGCAGGACAGTTTTATGCTTTCTAATCAGACTGGTCCAGACTTAACTGCACTTTTCCATGGTCTTCCTGGTTTAAACAACGGATCAACGTAGTGGCACAAGGGTAGTAACCCATAAGTGCTCTCTTCTACTTCTAACTGAAGCCTGAGTCAGAAGAATCTCAGCGCAGTGCACAAACACTGTAGCACCGGCGAGGGTCCTAAAATCCTTTGGGTAGATTTTTAACTCCACATTTTGCCCGGGCAACACTGTTAGCCTTCTCTTTTCAATTTCAAAATGTCAGGGGATTGTTTACGTGCGCAACAATACACAGTTGTGTCCAATCTTACTACCCAAAAACCAGAGGAAATTACTAGAAGTCTACGTTAAAAAAAATAGCAGGCTTCACCGGGGTTTGAACACAGGATCTCCAGCACTCGAAGCGGATAGCATGCTTCGAGACCACTTAGCCCCCGTAGATTGTCATCCTAGAAACAGGCACCCTACTGAGGGCCTGGCCAATGTAGATTGGATCAATATTTATTTCGAAGTCGAAGCACACCTTCCTGAGAGGCAAGGGACCAGCAGTCTGTACAACAAGCCAGATTTCTAAATTAAATATGTATGCAACACTCAAGTTCTCAAACAAGACCAAAGTTGAGACAAGAATGAACAACCAGGACTTTCCTTTGGATTGTACAGTTGGCGAACAGAAGAAAAAGAAGACTTCTTTAGTTCAACATTTACATAGTCAGCTTCTCATTCAGTTTCCACTTAGCCTATATATTATTGCTTGCTTGGTCATACTGTCAGTTGGCAGCTGGGTTAAAACTGAAAAATCTCACCTGTTGTTTTCTTGTGAGACATGCATTTTTGCAGAGATTTGTAGCACAGACTGATCATACTGATAGGGAACTTAGAAATTCACTCAGAGATGATTTGTTGCACACAATGAATGAACATTATGATCAAGATGTCATTCGGGTAGAGGATATAAAATACATATTGTAAAAATCAAAAACACTGCACCAGGGGCCAGATGGAGTCAGGAATACCCACATAAAAAACTTGAGTGATGAAGACTTGAAGGAGATAGATGGCTTACCATTTCAAACCAGAGCATCAGAACAGGGTCATTACCCCAGGATTGGGTACACAGCTACCTCAAACCCACTTTCAAAAACAAGCAAAGATCATATAAGACTCAGTAGCTTCAGGATTATCACTCTATAAAGTACTTTTGACAAGGTGCTAGAGAAGATTATTGCTGCAAAATTTTTGGGAAAGGGAAGAGCTCCTGCCACGAGGTTTCGGCAGTTACTGGTCACGGAAAGACACCTGGTCAAAAGCAGCTAATTTTGCTTTAAAGGTTTATGAGGGCTCCAGAATAGAAAGGAGACAGTAGTGGCACATGATCTTGAGGATGCCAGCAATTGAGTTAGATATAATATTTTGATATCTGCACTCGTGGAGGAGGGAGGGGGGCTGTCCATCACTGGTGAACTGGACAGCAGCTGTCCCACATTCCTCCAGTGAGGAAAATGATGAACATGAAATGGGATGAATTCAAGAGGAAAGAAGAAATAAGACAGAGAAGATGACGCTATATTGGACACATATTGAAAAGAAACAAGCAAAGAAATACCAAATGGGCACTAAAATGGGAAATACAGGATTGAGCAGGTGAGGAAGCCCAAAAGAAACCCTGAAACGAATGTTGATGAAAGAGACCAAAGGTTCTAGACTGGATTCAATCGATGATATTAAATTGAAAACACATGATGGAAAAATAAATCACAAGCCCTTTTTTTCCATAATTTTTTTTAAAATTATAAATCTTCTATTTTTACTAATAAGATTATCTAAGTATTCGCTGCACACTGTCTGTGGTAAGTAGAATCCAGAAGGGTGCGAACTGTTCAATATTTTAAATAATAATAGAAATTAAGTATGTTAAATAAATTGAGGGTTGAAAATTTGTGTAGTAGTAGTAGCAGCAGCAGTAGTAGTAGTAGTGCGTGCGCCTGCCTGCCTTTCTGTCTGTCTGTCGGTTTGTCTGTCTCTGTGTGTATGTAGTATATCAGCACCTGATCCATATGTGGGTGGGTGTGTGTGTATGTGTGTGTGTAAGAGAGTGAGTAGGCATGGATGGGCGAGTGCATTTTACTATCCATGCTTTTGTGGGTTTTTTTCTTCTGCACTGCAGAAATGTTACGATGAACCATATAGCCCAGTTAGATTAGGGCACTACAGAAAAGTTATGATGTAACCAAATAGCCCAGTTAGATTAGGGCAGTACAGAAAGGATACAATTTAACTATTATAACCATAAAGCACAGTTAGGTTAGGGCACTACAGAAATGTTACGATGTAACTATATAACCCAGTTGCATTAGGGCTCTACAGAAATGATACGATATAACTATTATAACCATATAGCACAGTTGGGTTAGGGCACTTCTGAAATGTTATGATGAACCATATAGCCTTGTTAGATAAGGGCAGTACAGAAATATTACGATATAACTATATGGCCCAGTTAGATTAGGGCACTACAGAAATTTTACAGTGTAACTATATAACACAGTTAGATTAGGGCACTACAGAAATTTTACAGTGTAACTATATAACACAGTTAGATTAAGGCACTACAGAAATTTTACAGTGTAACTATATAACACAGTTAGATTAGGGCAGTACAGAAATTTTATAGTGTAACTATATAACACAGTTAGATTAGGGCAGTACAGAAATTTTATAGTGTAACTATATAACACAGTTAGATTAGGGCAGTACAGAAATTTTATAGTGTAACTATATAACACAGTTAGATTAGGGCAGTACAGAAATTTTATAGTGTAACTATATAACACAGTTAGATTAGGGCACTACAGAAATTTTACAGTGTAACTATATAACACAGTTAGATTAGGGCAGTACAGAAATGTTACAGTGTAACCAAATAGCACAGTTAGATTAGGGCACTGCATGAAAGTTATGATGTAACATTTAGTCTAGTATGGGCTGGTATCTGCTTTGAAATGACAGGATTTAGGTTTTGGTGACATGGTCTTGTGACCCACAAAGGTCATATTCATATACATCAGTTACTGCCCCTAACATTATGAAGCATTTTTACATTTTCTGCTGTCTTTGGTAATACCTTACTGATCGTAGAAAAAAAAATCCACAAAGATTTCAAATATCTGTACGTTATGACATATTATATATATATTTATATTTCCGTGTGCTAAAACGATTCAGTAAATATTCTCTTATTGCATGGTAAGAATCAGTTTTTCGCACATTTGGCAAGGGACATAATATAAATGTTGAATCAGTACTTTTTTTTTTCAAGGGAGATAATTCGGATGTATAATATCTATACAATGTTCATTTATTTTTAAAGAAAATAATAATGTATATTTTAATAACCTTCTGATTTAATTAGAAACTTCTTAAGCTAAATGCAATTTAATAAATCAAATTGTAGTTAGTTTTATATAATAATATATATGCCTCTTAAATATTCTAACACCTAAAGCGGAATTTCTTCATTTGCCAGTGATGTGGGTCCTTGCCGTGACTCCAACATGTTATTAGTCGCTTTTATGACATGCAAAAGTACATATTGTACTTTTCTTCTTCTTACTTCTTTTGGAGGCCTGTCAAGGGCTGCATATTTTAAATGAATGGATGGTTGTTGATAATAATGCTAAAAGTGACCCGAAGCTACCAGCCTGACAAGAAAACAACGTACTCTTCTAAAACCTTTGTAAGAGTTATACATTAGGGCACACACTGGAGACAGATTTTTATATAGTATAGCGTCTATGACTCTAGGGTAGAAACCTGTCCTTTTACTAGGCGCGTCCATTGGATGGTGGAGCGGCCTCTAGATATAGCGTTTAGCCGCGAATAAATTGAATAAACGGACTTGGAATAAAGCAGGTGGTGGTCATTGAGAGGAGGCGAGCTAGCTAGTGTTACAGCTAGATCTGTAAAATACCACAAAACGCCATGACATGGCCATCAGCAACATGCAAAAGTTATACCATTGTGGAAGAACAAAGGAAGCAAACGAGAATGCGGTCAATATCGAGGCATCTCTCTTTTAAGCCATGTTGGCAAAATGTATGCCAAGATAATAGAAACAAGACTGAGACCAGTGATAGAACCACAGCTGGCAGAAGAACAGATGGGATTTAGGAGAAATAGAAGCTGAACAGATGCAATCTTCACACTTAAACAGTTAATAGAAAAGAACATTGAATACAATAAGAACTTATTTGTGGCATTCGTAGACCAGGAGAAGGCATTTGACAGAGTCGACAGACAATTATTATGGAAAATAATGGCAAGATATGGAGTAAGCGAACACCTCATCGAAGTGTGCAAAAGTTTATACAGGGATTGTAGAAGTGTAGTTAGAATAAATCAGGGAACATCTCATCCTTTCACATTGACATCTGGAGTAAGACAGGGGTGTGTCTTATCACCACTGCTGTTTATCACCTACATCGACAGTATATGCAAGAATGCCAAGCCCATGAATGAAGATCTTAGTAAGATCAACGAATTACTCTTTGCAGATGACCAGGCCTTGATAGCAGATACAGCCATGAAATTGCAACAACATCTAGCATCCATGAATGAAGAATGTAAAACAAATAATATGAGAATCAACACTGAAAAGACAGAAGTAATGTCAATAGGAAGAAAGAAGACAGATCTAAACATATCAATAGAATACAAAGGCATTAAACAGGCATGTGAGTTTAAATATCTGGGAACTACATTTACCGAAGATAGGAAATTGGACAAAGAAATTGACATTAGATGCAGTAAAGCAAACCAAGTATTGGGACAGCTAGCCCCCCTCTTACAGCATAAGACAATCC